ACAGTGGTGTGCAAAAGTTCTTGGCCAAACTCATTGTTGGTTATAATTTCTAATATAAAAGAATTGCAATATTGTAAGGTACATAGTATGTGAAGCTTAGATAATTAACAGATAATGTTATATTAAATTATAAAGATTTATTCTATTGTATTGTATTTATTCTATTATACTGATTTATTCTATTGTATTTATTCTATTGTACTGAATTATTAACAAATAACATAAATATTACTATTCAAAAGTTCCTGGCCACGTTTATTTCCAACAAAAAGAGCAACTTTAATTCAGTGAATAATAGTCTTTCACACTTAGTACTTTGTTGCCATGCCTTTTGAAGCTATTACTGCGGCACAGCGATGAGGCATAGATTCTATCAACTGATCAATAACACTCATTGGTATATTATTCCATTCTTCCGTCAAATGTTCGAGTAACTGTGTCTTATTCGAGTGCTTACGAACTTTAACTCGGCGCTTTAATTCATCCCACAAATGTTCGATGGGGTTGAGGTCCGGAGACTGCAATGGCCAGGTTAAAACCTGCAGTTTTTTAGCCAAGAGCCAACTCTTTACAAGACTTGAGATGTGCTTCGGGTTGTTATCGTGTTGAAATATTCAGTTTCTTGGCATTTTGCGTTTGGCGTATAGTAGCAAATTCTTCTCCAAGATATTCTTGTATATCGCAGCATTCATAGTTCCATCAATATTGACTAATGGATCAACGCCATAAGCAGAAAAAACACTCCACACCAACACGTTGCCTCCTCCATGTTTCATAGTTGGAATTTGATATCTTACATTGTTTCTGGTACCAACTGGACGTCGCACATGATGTCTTCCATCACTTCCAAACAGATTAAATTTTGATTCATCGGAAAATGCTACCTTTCTCCAATCTTCTACTGTCCAGTTTATGTGATCTTTTGCAAACTGTAAACGGGCCTTCTGATTCTTCTTGCTAATTAAAGGCTTGTTCATACCGATACGCCCGAACAATCCGACATCATGTAAACGTCTTGTAACGGTACAGCGGCTAACATTGGCGAGGTTTTCATCACGGAGTTCGCGAGCAATGTCATTTGCTGTTTTCCGCAGATTAGCAATTGACTTCATTTTAATCACGCGGTCTACTTTTTTGTTGTTTTTTGCGGTCTTCCACTTCGCGGGCGATCCTTTAGATCATATCCAGCACGGTACTTAGCTAATATATTATTGACAGTCGACTTACAAATTCCTAATAGCTCAGCAATATCACAAGATACTTTACCACTTCGCGACAAGCTAATAATTCTTTCTCGGATTGCCTGCTGCGTCTTTCGTGCCATGATGATACTCTGATGTCTATTGATCGATTACTCTTTCGGAAATAAAGTGATAAGCACTCAGTAGAAGCATAACATAAGTAATAAACACAGTGCCCAGGAACTTTTGAACAGTGACTTATTGAAAATGTGTTTGTAAACACACTTTCAATAGGTAAGATACGAGTGCTATTTTCTGTACATTATCACAGGTTTATATCTACTTATAGTTATAAGTCACTTGCTTTTCCTGTTCATAATATATTGCCAAAAATGAATTTGGCCAAGAATTTTTGCACACCACTGTATATATTCCGCACACACAAATATATATATGTATATATATGCTGTATAAAAATAAAATATTAATAACAATTAACGATAACGATTAACAATATTAATAACGATGTTGAATTTCTACTAGATATAGCCATACATATATTATTAGTGTTACATTATTATTATGATATCTTATACTAAACAGATATTCTATATACAAATCTTTTTAATTTTATTTTACAATTCTTCATCAGTGTATTCTTCAAAGGATTGGTCATCATCGAATGAAACATTTGTGGCTGTAGATATTTCGTCTATGTCTTTGTCCTTTCGTTTATATATTGCAAAAGATTTGCTAGAATCCTGAAATGCGAGGAAAGCATATAGACTTTTAAATATATTTATATATAATTATAAAGTGATTCAATTAAATATTTGATAAGTTCTTACGTCTTTCTCCGTAATTTCGTCCAGAGTTCTGAATGTCACCTTCCTATAAAAATTAAAATTTCTATTTTGTAACATGTAAAAATTGCGTCTAATGAAACAATGTATTATATATATGTATATCTAAAAGAATGAAACAATGTTAGTAGCAAATAAGCATATGTAGCTTCACATATTGTTATTATTATTATTATATGTTATACAAAATGAATATTCGATAAATAGATTTGATTTTATCTTACTTTTTCGTACCGCATTGTTGTTCATAATCATCGAGAACCTAAAACATGAGAAATAGATATTTGAATTGATTTATGTATACAATAATAAAACAATTCGTTTAAATTTGATAAGTTCTCACTTTTTGTATGCTGTTAATGTATGTATTGAATATTTCGCGCTTTTCGGGGCTTTCCTCAGATGCTTCCTCTCTGAAAAGATTTTTGAACATTATTGTTACAATAATTTGTATGAAATAAATGTTTAATAAACGAATGTAATCTTGTCTTACATATTCTTTCGTTTTATTTGGCTTATAGGTACCGTTCGGCAAGTCACAAATTTTGACTTCTAAAGTGAAAAGAAAAACAGATCCGTGTAAATATATTTCAGTATTTCAAGCGATACAAAAATATAATCGATAAAAGAACATGACTCAATTCCGTGACAATCTTTCGCTAATAAAATGATAATACTTTGTAACGGAGTCTATGTATCATACTAGTGTGAATTTGCTTACGCCCTTCGCATCGATGTCAGTCACCACTTTCATGATACTGTTTGATTTTTTAGGTTTATTTTTTGATATAAAAGTCTCGACAAGTTCACCGTCCTTCCCGATCACCTCGATTTGCATAAATTTATTCGGAATACGTTCAGTTTTGCACTTTTTATTGAAGCAATTAATATTAAATATATCCTGAATTTAAAAATATCAACATTACACGTACACACGCACAGACATGTGCATATATGTTATTATTTGACTCAACATCAGATTTTCATAAAATATAACTTCTCTAAGATCACCTACCCTATTATCTATTATATCATTAAGTTCCTTCAAGTATTCCCAACAAATCCAATGATACTGTAATAGACACGGTATATGATTGCTGCAGATTAATGTAACCATACCTTTAAAATGTGGATCTCTGAAAAACACATTTTGTCTGTATGAAGTTTAAATTGTGCGTTTAAATTGTATTTTCATTTGGAAATATCTCACGGGACTTGAGATGCGATAGATATAAGTTTGCACTATCACTATTATTATTACGCGGTTGTTAGTTATACATTGTCTTAATATTAATATATTACTTAAGGTATATAGCTTTATTTGTTTCCTGCCCTGATATTTTGGCGATTATCGACGGTAGATGATTTTTGCACTTTGAGTCCAAGTAACAAATCGCATCCGGATTGTTGAGCAACACACAATCGTTACGTATAATGTTAAGTTTGAACTGATAAAAGAAATTGATCAGATATTAATCAGTTCAAGTGTGAAGTGAACTGTAGGCACAGTATTATTACGATATAGAATTTCGCGAATCTCGGCGAGTAATCATGATCTCGTGATCTCGATGAGTTTGATTTTTATTTCAACGCCATGCACAGTATAGATCAAATGCACCTTATGTCAGTCAAGTAGTGTGCATTTCCGTTTTTCTCACAATGCAAGCGCTCAGCTCTTTGTTTTCGCGCTCTGCAACATCGAACGATCATAACTCGCCGAGATTTCAGTGATCTCTACGCTCGATAGTATACATATATTTAGAAATACGATAGAACGTACGAGCAAACCAATTCGCGTAGTTTCTTCTATGATACTAGTCGTTTGTGGAATAAAGTAGGAGTCGAATGGCGCATGAGTGTACAAGAAAGAAATGCCTTGCCTGATTTCTTCCGCCGCCGAAAAAAAACTGCGACAAAATAGCAAATTATTTTATAACTATACCGCGTTATACATAAGCAATGTTCGCAAATAATCGTACTTGTACATACATATACATCTTCATATATATTTTCGCTAGAGCATAATAAGTTGCGGGAAAAGCATTCCCGTAAGTAGACTTCAATGCAATAAGTCGGATGAACGCATTCCATAAATTCTCATATTTATTTGACTCTAATAAACAGACACATAACATATACTCCAATTGATCCAAGTACGTCAGTTTACCAGTGGGCGTAATCTAAAAATTCAAGATTGAATACTCGGCATTATAAACTCAACTAGAGTTTCATACTGTAAAAATATTAATATATTCATTATCAGCATTACATATGTGTAATGCAACGATCTCTCATCAGAAACCAACGTTATATATATCACATTTGCAAAAATTGCTTTCTCTGTGTTCACATTAACACACGATAAAAGCAATTTGTATATGTTGAAATCGATCTATGTAGAAATTTTTGTGTTAAATGTTCAACATATCCGTGTGTAATAATTTAAAATATTATCGTTGTGTTATTTTGACTATTCCGCGTAGAGTTCATCTTTATCATTTCTAAATGTCAAAATAATACAATTTACATGTAACATATAGATTCTTGACGATACATTTTATATGTGAAGTGTACAGGTAAGTTGTGTTATTTTTGTTAATATAATTACTTGGTGTTAAATTAACAAAAAAAATTAGAATGGATCAATTCAGGCATGTGAAATGTATTAAATTTAACACAAATTTTCTTGCAGTGAAAACTAAGTCTGTTTTATATAATCACGTAAAATAAAAAAGTACAAAGTGGTCTGTAGGGGAGAACCCTACCGTCCAAATAAACCGTAATAGCGAACGTGTTAATTATGAAAGATTACTGACTTTGGTCGTTAAAAATTGAAAGTGTACTAATCTACCTTTTCTTCTTTTGTTTCCACGTCACTCATTATGTCAAGACACTGTTGATATATAATAGCCGCGTCTTCATATTTTTGTCTCCTATATAATAACGCTGCTTGATTCACAAAGGAATCCTGATAAGTATACACACTTTTATTTATTTATGTACGATAATAAAAAATATAAAAAAGAAGCCACGTAAAATTATAAAATGCAATTTACCAATTCAGGACACATAGATTCTGCCATTGTTGTATCCCTAACGGAAAATCTAGAGGCAGCAGTGTAGAATAAAATAAATAATCCGTTGTTCGCTAATTAGCGCTGTGTTAAAAAAGACTGTCCACCTGAACATAATTAATTTCATTGCGTATAAATCAAAGCTTCTCACTTCACGAGCTAAAGTTCGATCGAAAGGCATGTTTTAACGTCGGAGAGTGAGAACTCTTGTAAATTCAATCAATATCAGAATAGCATCCCGACCAGATAAAATTGCACGTTACTATGTCGAGCTGAATCGCGCTTGAAAATCGATTCGAAGCCTTTGTTTAAAGACCTCCTCGACAGAGACAGACTGTACAAGGTACCGTCGCCAGAATATCGAACACACCGTCGAGCAGGCTTCGTCACTTGTAATTATGCGCGCGAAATAAAAATTGCCGAAACACGCAGTGATAAATAAAAAAAAACAATGAAGGTTATTATTGATAAATTAAAATCGCGCGACGGAAGTTACATTTACATGTATCTTGACTTTTTCTCTCGTTGTTCATATAAATATAGAAATATGCGCGACTAAGTGCTTACGTTATTGCGCCATTTAATCATTATTTATTCACGGGAGAAATTCTTTAGTGATAAACAATAAAATGCGACATAAAGGACAGGAAAATGGAAAAGAAGAGGAAGAAAAATGTGAAACAATTTATCGTAGAAAAGACATGAAAATTTTCATTGCAACTCGAATAATTAACGTCGTCATCGCACGTTGAATGCGACGGCCGCGATCGCTTAACGAAAGCACGGCGCACGGGAGCTTAACGGAAATAACATAGGACTCTATTAATATCCGGCGGTCTACGTCTTTAGCATGGTGCTTACACAGCGTGCGTATACACAGAGCTTGTCAAAGGGAGTACACAGTTTATTATTTAGTAATGACGAAAGAGGACGCGTTCCCACCGATCATTAGGCTCCAGGTAAAAACGTGCGCCAACTAATAACCGTCGCCCCCGTAACATGTTTCCCTGGCGTCCCCGAAATCCTCGTAGCGCGAATAGAACACGGCGAAACCCTGAGAAACGGGCATTTTCGTGCAACCACCCGTCGTTGCGCAAAATAGTCTACAAATCGCTATCGCTGTCAGCATCAGACGAATGATGCTCGATCAGCTTCGCGTCATCGATCGAGATGTCTCACCGATGCTTTCGGATTTGCAAACGCACGCAAGTACAAATGTATCTCGCATCGATGCGACTAGCGAGATGAATTCTCAGCAGTTTTTTCCGTCCTGCGAGATGCGTTCGAAATGTAAAATTAATAAGCGTGATTAATGACGGATAAGCGGATCAGCTGGTGTCTCGCTATCTCGTTAACTCCGCACAGCGCTCGCGCGGTGCTCGTTGGACGCTGTCCAACGAGCGATAGCTGGACGCTATTTTTAGAAAGATCTGTCAGAGCTTTTGGAAGGGAACATTGTTCGGCGCAGCTATGAGCGTGTCGCTCGATGTCGCGGAAAAATTCGTCACGAACCTCTGCCCTCTGCGCTTTATGATCTGACCGGGCATTGATAACAAGCCGATGACATTGGATGTATTTATTGGACGGAACACAGTGAAACCTCACGGCCGATCGGTGCGCAAGAAAATTAAGAATATGACGACAAGTACACGACAACGACGACGACAACGACGTCGGCGGCGACGGCGCGCTGAAGTCGGGGGTCGCGGCCTTGGATGAAGTCACGCGAGTGCAAGGTTGCTATCGTGAGGGGTGTACGCGGCCGGGCGCGTGCATGCATAGGCGTCGTTCTTTCTCTTCGTAGCCGAGCTTTAAAGATTTTATTGATCGCAATGTGCAACGACCACGAGCTGCCTGTTTCCCTCAAGATGCGATTTAGGACAATGACGCGACGTTGAGCGCAACGCTGCGGAAGCGGATAACGCGCCGTGGAGAGCGAGAAGGACAATAGCGTCCGCTTTGCTTATCGCGCAGCTCCGATCCATCTAGAACTTCCGGCACGATTAAATAGATCCCTCAATTGATTGATAGATCTTCGAATGAGACAAGAGGGTACGAAGGATTTGAAGCGCAAGCCTCGTGCGCTGAGAATCTTGTCGTTATTCTCGCAGCGCGCATTCTCGTTTGCGGTTTTATGTTCCCTTTCCTCCAATCTGACTTTCTATTTTCTTGATATACTTTTCTTCTTATGATGTTTCTGGTAAAACCCTGGGAATTGTCCGAGCTACATACATGGCAGTCTGTATCGAGTTTTTCTCGCGAAGGTATTTCACGCGGGAGGAAACCCATCTCCCGGGCCAATCTCGTGTACATTCGGTCAGTTTCCTTTTATATCTGCTGAAGAGAGGCCAAAAGTAGGATAGCTCCGGGCGTGCGTGCGTTGTTTGCACGTGGCAGCGCGGAATGAAATACATCGTCTTGCCGATGGTACGAGCACCCTTCGTGTCGAGCAGGCGCGCTATCGTGGGGGTGCTTTTCCGCGAGCGAGTTCATCACCTATCCCGTCGGTAATCCAACCTCGACGGCGAGCGCACCGCACTTTTATAGCGTCTCTATAGAACCATTCCGTGGCACGCGTGAGCGAGGGAGAAAGAGGAAGAGAGGGTAGTGGGCAAAGGAGGGAGAGGAAGATTCGTGTGCGACGACCAAGGGGTTGAAAGGGCAAAAATGGAAACGCGTGGAGGGACGAAGAGAGGCTTATTGCGCCCCACGATACGATCCTCCAAAAACGGAAGACGGAATATCCCGCGAGTAAGATTCGCGAACCCCCCCTTCCTGATCTTGATCAAACTTGGAGGGTGTGCGCAGCAAATAAAGGTAATATCGATGTGGTTTGCTGGACGTGGTTTTGTCTTAATATTTCTGTACTGACACAATCTGAACTCACGTTAACTTGGAACACGAAACTTTGTTCGAACATGTTAGCAATCTCAAGGCTTTTAATATCTTAGACATTAAATAATCGGTATCTTTTAAGAGTTTATATATCAGCACATATGAATGCGCGATCGACTTTTCGCTGAAAGAAGCAGAAAGGGGCTCTAAGTTGGTCGAGAAACAGCTCATTAATGATTAATGCATACATCAGCTGGGGATAGTAATCGTTACACGTTGCGACGAATTAGTATCGCACGAAAAATCTATCAAGAAATCTTCTAAAAATCCCACCCCTATTATGAACTACTCTCTCGCTCCTCTCGCTCCTCTCTCTCGCAATAATTTCATTTGAATAGGATAAAATTATTCCAATATAAATTGCATTTGAACATACGATATAAAAAAAGAGGCCAACAGAGGCTATACATCATACATCATGCGTCATACGTAGAACGCAATGCGTCCTGTAGCGAGACGATGGTTCTTCGACGAGCATCGTTCTGTCAAGGTCCCAAAAAAAGTAGCACAGAAAAATATCAAACAAAAAAAGATTTTTATTGTTCTAAAACAACGTAGCGGAGAGAGGAAGCGAGAGAAAGAGAGGGTCAGAGGATGAGAGTCGTTGCGGGGGTGGAAGGGCGCGCGAGGAGCCGGCGACGAGGTGCGGACGGCGCATGCCTCTCGCTCGTGCGAACGCGAGCAACCCCTGACATGAGCAACCCCCGAGTGTGTTGTTCTTCTCTCTATGTGATCGTTGCCGCTCGATTCTGCGCCGTTGTGTGTTCGCGCAGGGCGGCTCCTACACCGCCGCCTTCGTCCGACGCTCTCTTCCTGGCTTTACCACCGTGCACCCTTCCGGGTGACGTGCAAATGGTGGCGTAACGCGCGTGGTCGGCGGAAAGAGGTGAAATCAGCCTCGCGTTTCATGCGTGCTTGCGTGCGTGCGTGCGTAGGTACGTGCGTGCGGCCGTAGCCGCTGCCGGACAGCAGTCGACGAGAGGCCGCGCTTCCTGACGTTTTGCCGTCAGTCACGATGGTCACCGACAACATCACCCAGGTACGATTCCATTGAAGCGGCACAGCATCGGTGCGAAACCGGCACTTATATCCTCTCTCTCTCTCTCTTTCTCTCTTTTTCTCGGTCTCTCTGTCTCTCTTTCTCTCTTTTTCTTTTTTATTCTCTCTATCTGCCTCTCTGTCTCTCTCTTTTGCGTTTTTGCCTCTGTCCGGCTTCGTCCGTCTCTCCCTCTCGTTGCCTTGTCTCTCATCCTCTCGGGATCGCGGACGATCCAAAAAAAAAAGAGGAATTATGAATCATTCAACTTCTTAGCTAGAAGGTAATAGCGAAATTCAACTTGGCGAGTCGCAGTGCTACGATTTCGCAAGCGTCAAAAAGATGTTGGGTCAAGGTGGCGGTGGTGTTTGCACGAGGATTGCGAAAGCCGGCCGGAAAGTAAGGCAATTAACATGTTAGGGTTTTCTTTCTTCTTTGGATTTAACGTCGTTAGGATCTTGTTGAGTTCGATTCCCGTTGCCGAGGTCAGGGGAGAACGCGCTTCACTACGCGGTAACTACAACCCCTCCGTCGATATAGACATATCTTTAACGCCGGGCTCTGGATTTTCTAAAATTGCTCATCAATTCCAACAGATGATTTCATTTAGACGAAATATCGAGTCAGAATGAGAGTTTACTCGAGAATGAGAGTCTGCTCGAGAAATACTCGCCACGAGCGAGAGGGAACTAAAGAGTGGACTGTACACCGGGAGATGCGCCGCGAAATACACCGGGTGGTTAGGGGGCGTTCCGCGACAGCCGGCGAATGCGGCACGTATCGATGTCGAAGGAATGCGACGACGGTGGATGGTCGAAAAACCGTAAAGTCTTGATTCGCGCTATATCGAGGCGCGCGATGCAGAAACCGGTGACGAGAATTACCGGCAAAGGTCAGGGTGACGAAGTTATAGCGGACACGTCAATAGCGTTGATTCAGAGCTCGACACTTGGTCCTACGTGGTCTCTTATCGCGATAAATCACAACGGGGTGCTCAGAGAGAAACGAGGGGTATCTCCCCCTCGTTCTTCTCCAAGCATCCTGTAAAGTTTACTCACGTTTCCCGGATGGGAAGTAAACGCGAAGTTTAAGGAGATGTCTCTTGAGGTTGATTTCAGCTGCCTTGATTAACTTTGATCTTTAGTTTAATCGAAGCTTCGTGCGTTAAATACGCAAGGTTGTTGTAGGAAAAAGGACAGAGTCGCCATGCACAAACTAGGTTACTTATATATTACTTCTATATAAATAACCATATTGCGCCTTCCCTGTTTTATACGTTCTACCGCCGCCCTATCGCCTCCTCACTTTTCGTGTTTGTTTCTTGCGTTCAGTCGTTTAATTACTTTGCTCCAACATGTATTTTAATGGAATGACATGTTTGCACTTAGGCTGATGACACGACAGCATTTCTCCGCGCTGCTCGGTCCGGCAACCTCGAGAAGGTGGTCGAATTTCTCGACACCGACTTAGATATTAACACGGCCAACTCGGTAAGCATTAAAATCTAAATGTGACATGTAATTCGTAAAATTTATCATCGATCTTTACATTATTTGATTTACGACTGAACTTAGTAGAGTGTTTAATTAATTTCACTCCAAAGGACCTCTGATTTGAATTTCTATTTGATTTCTATTTCAATTTTATCTAATCAAACGCGTATATCGTTGCAGAACGGTTTAAATGCTTTGCATTTAGCCTCGAAGGATGGCCATATCGAAATAGTAACCGAGCTCTTGAAAAGAGGCGCGAAGGTGGACGCGGCGACGAAGAAAGGAAACACCGCGTTACACATAGCTTCATTAGGTGAGAAAAGAAAATCTTCAAAGGATCATCATCAATCAGCGCATAATAGTAATAATAATAAAAATAACAAAGAACAATACAAGGAGTCTCGGAGTCCATGATACTTTTAAACTTTGTAAAAGTTTAAAATCACAAAAAGAGATTATCACAAGAATTATTATATTATATAAATTATGCAAACTTCATTAAGGAAATTGGAGGGTCAGATTGTCTGAAAATCGTGCTTGTTTTTTCACATTTTTTTATGACAAACTGAATGAATATGCGAAAGTGTTATTTTGACCTGTATTTATACAACATATAAAGAGAAGAAAAATATAATTTTGATGATCAAATATTCAATATAAGTGTATGTACATGCAGTTAAAATATATTTCGTTTTTATTTTCAAGGTCGTCATTTTGCAGTAATATTTTGACTCTCGGTGATTCCATTAAGCTGAATTTTAGGTAGAAATTTCTGTAAGCTTGTCGTTATCGTGTGAACCATTGAGAAATTGAATAAAAATTAACAAAATTGCAAATATCTTAATGGAATATTATTAAATTTTCAGTTCTTTTATAGTAAAAAAATTAATATTTCAAAATTAAATATTTTCACGATTTTTAGTGTTTTTCAGTGTGGTTCACACAATAACAACAAGTTTACGGAAATTTTCTACCTAAAATTTAGCTTAATTGAATCATCGAGAGTCAAGATATTACTGCAAAATAATGATCTTAAAAAAAAAAACGAAATACAATTTAACTGCATGTATCATACACTTATATTGAGTATTTGATCATCAAAATTATATTTTTCTTTTTTTTTATATGTTGTATAAATATGTCAAAATAACATTTTCACATATTCATTCAGTTTGTTATAAAAAATTGTGAAAGAACAAGTACGATTTTCAGGTAATCTGACTCTTGAATCTCCTTAAATATGAGGTAGACGAGGTAACTGTAGATTAAACTAAAACTCATGAAACTAAGACTAAATTAAACTCAGATTAACGAGCGAGTTTACCTTTGAAAAATAAAAAACTAACTGTGCTCTGATCATTTTTTTAAATTATTGCAAATCTTTATCGAATTATTTATTACAGCGAATCGTTTTTTTTTCAGCCGGCCAATGCGAAATAGTCGGTATCCTAATTCAATATGGTGCCGCGGTTAACATCCAGTCGCAAAATGGATTCACTCCTTTGTACATGGCTGCGCAGGAAAACCATGATGAAGTCGTCAAGTTCCTGCTCAGCAATGGAGCCAATCAGAGCCTCGCGACGGAGGTAAATTCCAGCTTCCTTCTCAACTCACAAGAAGATGCTGTGTATTCATCTAATACATTCGATTAATTTTTTTTATATTTATATTTATATTATATTAATCACATATTCTGCTATATACAATTTTTTATTACAAGGAAATTATATCCTTTCAAGTGTTCTCGCATTTATTCGGAACGCTCAATTAAAATCACTGTGGTAATATTTCTCAGGATGGATTTACACCACTCGCGGTAGCGATGCAGCAAGGCCACGACAAGGTGGTTAGCGTCTTGTTGGAAAACGATTCGAAGGGCAAGGTCAGGCTCCCGGCTCTTCACATCGCCGCTAAGAAAGACGATTGCAAGGCCGCTGACCTGCTTCTGCAGGTAAATCTTCGAGCATTTGTTTCTACGTCGAATGGAAATTGATCGAATCAGGGAGGAGAACGCGAGTGAATAAAAGTCTAATGTTGTAACAATTTCAGAACGATCATAAGCCCGACGTAACATCGAAGAGCGGCTTCACACCTCTCCATATCGCCGCCCATTATGGAAACGAGGAGGTAGGGCGGTTATTAATAAAACGAGGAGCCGATATAAATTATTTAGCTAAGGTGAGTACACCCCAACGATTTTCATAGCGAACATGATCAAAGGGCAGAAAATGAAATAAATTCCAGATTTTTACCAAAATATGTTTTAAAGTGAAGACTTATTGATTATATTTCTTAAATATTATGTTAGAACGACTACGTCGTCTTTTATACTTTAACATAATTCAAATATATTTAAAATGATCAGAAAAAGAATGTGTAGTATTAAAATACAGGAATACATTAAAAAAAATATTTACCTATTTAAGAAATAACTAAAATATCTAAAAATATCTAAAAATAAAGATATCAAAGAAAAATATCTAAATAAATATCTAAAGAAATCTAAAGAAATCTAAAGATATCTAAAAAAAGAATTAATTCTAATTTTATGATGTGTAACTTAGCATTGCTGAATTTTGCGACGTGTCTTTTCTAGCACAATATCAGTCCGTTGCACGTAGCAGCAAAATGGGGCAAGAACAATATGGTCAAGGTACTTTTGGAAAATTCGGCGCAGATCGACGGCAAGACCAGAGACGGGTTAACACCGCTCCATTGCGCGGCGCGATCAGGACACGAGCAGGTAGTCAGCACGCTCCTTGAGAATTCGGCGCCGATCAGCGCGCGTACAAAGGTAACTCTATTCACACATGTTCTGCTAAAAATCTCTCTCTCTGTTCTTTTACTTATGAAATGAGTCCTAAATAGATATAAAAGTCTCTCCTGGTAAAGAGATTTTCATATTCCTAAAATTTATCTTTTCATTTTTTGAACCTTTAGTATTTTGATAAGTAAATTACGAAAAAAATTTCTATTAAGGCTGGATATTCGCATTGTCTATTTCTTTTTAATGACGTCAGAAATGAGAAAATGTATGCTAAAAATTCTTGCACGATACATTGAAATAAAAATATATATCCATTAAGTAACACTTGCAATCGATTAAACAAATTTGTAAGATATTCCGTGCATTATACTTTTGCTCTAACAATCAATAATTTATTGTAAATTAATCTGAATAGAAATAGGCGAAGAAATAGGTTAAGAAGATGAATTGTATGTCACATTAATTTACGATAAATTATTGATTGTTAGAGCAAAAGAGGAGTGCATGGAATATTTTACAAATTTGTTTAATTGATTGTAAATGTTACTTTATGGATATATATTTTTATTTTAACGTATTTCGCAAGAATTTTTAGCATGCATTTTCTCGCTTCTGATATCATTAAAAAGAGATAGACAATGCGAGCGGCCTTAACATAAAGATTTAAAAGTAAAATTCTATTATACAATCTCAATCATCCTGCTTTCGATTATTCTGAATACTTCGACATCGATCATTGATATTGAAACGATATGGTATGATTCGATCGGAGAAACGCGTATTAATTAATGACAATAAAAGCTTGATTAAATATTTTAAGAGTTAACGAATATATATATATATATATATATATATATATATATATATATTCGTTAATTCTTAAAATATTTAATCAAGCTTTTATTGTCATATAACACATAACAACTATATACATCGATATAGCTACTCCGCGTTACAGTATTATGCATCATTCGTTGGATCGAAACGTAATGGCTTGAGAATAGAAAAATATCAAGACACATGACAATATGAAAATAATGGGTAAAAACGGCAAAACCGTAATTCGCTAGTTGTCGTTCGTCAATCAACAATGCGTATATACACAGTATTGGCGACTAAGAATCAAAACAATCAACGCTTGCAAAACATACCGGATTTTAAAGACGGTTAAAATTATCGGACGACGCACGCGTAACACACACACATGTCCAAGTCGAAATATAAAATTTATTCCAAGTCTCGTGAATGCTGATTTGTTCCTTTAATTAATGCTCCTCCGTGTTAATCATTTAGTATTTTCCTTTCGGAAATACACTCTATCTGTAGTCAAATAAATTACTTAATCAATATATTGCTCAAAGCTAACAGCGAATTCGGTAGTTTGCACTAGTGCGCGTTAAGGCTTGTTTATATATTCTTATATTCTTATATTAAAGATCGTGTCTTAAGTACATATTTAAAAACATTTTAGCCAATAAAATGATTCGTACGGATGTTGTACATATCATATTATGGTTAAAAATATTTGAGAATTTATTTAAGACAATCTTCAAATAGAATAACGCTATGAACAAGCCTTAGTGCGCACTTAGTGCGCACTAGTGCAAGCAACCGAATTCGCTATAAGAAAAACTTAAATGCTTTTCAAATCCTTATTTTGATACGACATGGAGGAAACGAGTAAACACTTGTATAGCATCAAAGAATAATATAACCTGCATAATGTCGTACATCGAGATACTCCTTCGAGAGCCAAGTTCGATGGAGTTTACAAAATTACTTTAATTACTTTCTGTTTTTATTATTCTTGCGTCAAACAAAAATCTTATGCGGTTCTTTTGCAGAATGGACTCGCGCCATTGCACATGGCCTCTCAGGGAGATCACGTGGACGCCGCGAGGGTGTTGCTGTACCATCGAGCCCCGGTGGACGAGGTGACCATCGACTACCTGACCTCACTGCATGTAGCGGCGCACTGCGGCCACGTGAGGGTGGCCAAGTTGCTGCTCGATCGAAAAGCCGACCCGAACGCACGAGCGCTGAACGGCTTCACGCCGCTCCACATCGCGTGTAAGAAGAATCGCATCAAGGTTGTGGAATTGCTGCTGAAACACGGCGCGTCCATCGAGTCTACCACCGAGGTAATCCAGACGCAATCACTTCGTCGTCGTTTGCACTATTTCAAGCATCTCTCGCAATCGGATCATGTTTTTCATAAATGTTTCCTCTCGCAACTCACGAATGTTTTCACGCAGTGTCAGTTAATGATATTCTACAACGGAGCATTACGAAAGCCGCGCGAAAGCCTCGATGCACAGAAAAAAAAGAACGATCATACATTCGTCGAGATACGATCGTAAGATCGCATTGAAAAATGTGTCGCACACGGTGATAAACGGCAATTAACGCAGCCGGACGTATCAATTAGTATCCTATATCCGTGCCTTCTATGTGCCCCAAATGCAAAGGAATGAAATAAGAAAAAGAAAAGAAAAAAGAAACGAGCCGGTATATATCGAAGTTAGCAGATCTCTTGGAAGACTGGTTAAAGGGTCGTGCATTACCAATCAAACTGACGAGACTGACCGGATTAGTCGAATCGTTCGGCGATTCTCGTTGATTTTGCTCACTCTTTTGTAATTTCCTACAGTAGTAGTTTCTCTCGCAGTCGCCCGAGACGCCGGCTTATCGTCGTGGACGACAACGGACAGGTCGAATCGAATTAACCGACGATTGAACCTTACCGGAGTCGGCGATCACGAGATATATTAATGGACGAATACGTGTGGTGTGTTTTGCAGTCCGGACTGACTTCGTTACACGTGGCCAGTTTTATGGGATGCATGAATATCGTGATATTCCTACTGCAGCATGAAGCGAATCCTGACGTGCCGACCGTCAGGGGCGAAACACCCCTGCATCTGGCGGCTAGGGCTAATCAAACAGACATTATTCGAATTTTGCTAAGAAACGGTGCCAAAGTCGATGCTCGTACAAGGGTAAGTAATGCGTGTCGCCTTCCGAACCGACCCCTTCTCTCTCTTTTTTCGTGTTCTTCTTCCTCTTTTCTTGTCTTCCGTTCTCTTCCTTTCTATCCGATAGCTTCTTTCTCTGTCTCTCTTTTCCTCTCTTTTGTTCTCCTCATTGTAATTTACCGCTTGCTCAATTACGACGGCGAATACCCCGTATACCCTTGAGGGCGAAAACTCAGAGGATCTTAGAGGGTCATGTACATACAAACGATCACTCTCATATGCACCCCTCTACAAAAGCATGAGCCATTAACCAGTCTCATATACCGACATTCAACTTAACGTCAAGTTACCAGCGATTTCTAATCAAATGTAACGGGTGACTTTTACGCTTGCAAGTGTAAGGCGACCCCCTCGTCCTACTTCCTCCCGATGATGTCTTTTCACGCTTTCCTTTCTGGTCACTCGGCTCCTTCAGGCACGGCGATAAAACGAAAGACGCACCACCCTGAGAATTCACCGTAACCGTTTCATCGTTATTTCATCAGGCTTCTAGTTGCATGACGATGGATCAGTTTGTACAGCACAAACGTGCGAAACGAATCGACGAGGTTCGAACAATAGAAATGAAACGAGAAATGTCAGAGTACGCCTCATCTGTGTGTCGTATCAAAGGTGTCTTACGTAACTGATAACTCGTATAATCGACTATAATTTAACGATCGATTATAATTCTCACTAGTAATTAGCATTAATATTAATAATTATCAGTATCTACGCGGGTATAGAAAAAGCGTCTGTGCTTCAAGGGGTCAGCGTTGCCCGTCTCGCGAGTCTTTGGATCGCGCAAATCAGATCCCGTCATCATCATTACGCTTCTCGCATCTCGTATTGCTTCGCAAGAACGACGTTCCTCGCGGACGGCTTCTAATACGATCACGTCGTTCCTTCGTAGGAACAGCAAACGCCACTTCACATCGCCTCGCGTTTGGGCAACATCGATATCGTCATGTTGCTGCTGCAGCACGGTGCGGCCGTTGACACCGCCACGAAAGACATGTACACGGCGCTCCACATCGCGGCGAAGGAAGGTCAAGAGGAGGTAATGTACAAAGAGTACGCACAATTAGCGGACCGCATCGACGCCCAAAACAGAATATACCTGTTTTGGAGCCGGAAACGCGAGTACCTCATGTAGGATGGCAAGCCCTACCGGCTGTGGAACACATTTTCCTTCCTCATATTATCGTTATCACACCTGCATCTCCATCGTCGCTCACGTTGGTTCATCTCGCACACACATATCTGTTACGTTTTATGCATATTCTGTTTATGGAGGCTTTGTTTCACGTTCGACTGCGCATTTTATTATATTACGTTTGTTCTCTCATCATGTATAATCTCGTTATATAATAAACTCTTTGGTTATATTGTTTATTCCTTTACATTTACTTCATTAGTTATTATCCTTGTTTATTCCTTATTTCTCGTTCGGTTTCGTGCGCTCACATGCCTCGCGTTCTCTCAGTACCTCTTATCACGCTACCTTCTCGCTGCTTCTCTCTCTTTCACTTTTTCTCTTTTTTTCTTGCTCTATCTATTTATTTTATCGGACAGTCTCATTACGTGAAGGTATTGCCAGATTGAACGTGTAATTCCACCCCGTGACATTTGGCAATTGCTTCATTCCGAGGATCGATATCGATTGTCAGACACTGCGAAGCCAAACGTGTGTCTACGTTCTCCTTGCACGTTATTTCTGCGCGCCTCATAAATAATTTACTAACACACGTCTTCCCAGAAGCTCGTACGAGCGCCAGCATAATTAAGACTGTCGAACGGTAATTCAGCAATTCGCGAAACCTCCCGGTATTTATAGAGCCACGCAATGACGTCTGGTCGCTCGTGTGCGTTGACTCTACGCGAATTCCTCGTTTCTAACTGGCATTTATCTTGCGAAAGGTAATCTAACTTTTTTTTTTTTTAACTTACTCGTAAAACGGAGTAATAAATCGTTAGAAAGTTTGAGTGGTAGTATAAAGTTTTATCTTTTTAACGAGATTTTTATCTGTCTGATTGAACCTTATCAAGCTTTACTTGATCTCGTTAAAAAGATCATTAATCCGTCAATTTAAGACCAACAGGGAAAGAACTTTGTTATTGAAATTATCGAGAGAGGTCTATTTCGTTTCTCGCATTGTCGAAAGTAAAGATATTAAGTGCGTGTCTCGAGGTGAACCTCTTTCTGTAACGTGGAATCTTTCTTCGCAAACAGGTAGCGGCCATTCTCGTGGAGAACAATGCTTCTCTCAAGGCTGCGACGAAAAACGGCTTCACACCTCTACATATCGCGGCCAAATACGGCAATATGAATGTCGCAAATATACTTTTGCAGAAAGAGAGCAAGCTCGACGTCCAAGGAAAGGTTCGTGTAGATTCAATCGCAGATCGTGTCAGTTTACGTAAAGAGATCGTACATGGAATATTAAAGTGGAGAAAAGTAACTGTAGTTTCTCTGGATTTCGCCGAGAAATCTGATGGGACTCTTTATGCGTTCCGACACGATGGGTTGCATCGTTTATCTCCCGACTACTCTCTGGTGGGTTCGGTCGAGTTATGCGGAACTTATGCTTGACATTTCAGAACGATATCTCACCCTTGCACCTGGCGTGTCACTACGATCACCCTAATGTAGCGAATCTTTTATTAGAGAAGGGTGCGTCTCCCCATCTCGCGTCGCAGAATGGCCACACGCCGCTTCATATCGCAGCTCGTAAAAATCAGGTAAGTTCAGATATTCGCAACGCGATAGACATGATTCTTCTAACACACTAGCAATTAATTAACCGCTCTCTAATTTGCTCCATCATTGCTGCGATTAACTCTCGCGAGAACGATGCGTTTGTTTCACGCGGCTAGATGGACATAGCTTCGACTCTCTTGGAGAACGGAGCGAACGCAAATGCAGAATCCAAGGCGGGTTTCACCCCGCTGCATTTAAGCTCGCAGAAGGGCCATTATGATATGACGAACTTGCTAATCGAGCACGGTGCCAATCCCAATCACAAGGCGAAGGTAAATAAACTTTCCTCTGCACATCTCTCATATGTGTCCTCGATTCTATCCTTACGTAATTAATTAGAATTGTTATACATGGCTGTTGCATTGTTTATTTTGTTAATTGATTTGTTGCAACAGATTGTTACTCGAGACGAGATCTACGCAATTCTAGTCATCAAAAGAATCGTTATTTGAATTCTACAATTTTCACAATTTTGCCATTCTAGTAGTTTTTCTGGTTTTATCACCTCGTTGCAAAGAATTCAATTTATCGTAATCTTTTTGCTTTTTATTCATCTTCTATGTATGATATTGATGCTATTTCGAGCCTTCAAGACCGACTTCTTCCAAACGAAAGTTTCCAATTCTCCTGAGAAGAGAAACCATGTGAAACTTAACACTTGTTCATTTCCGATCCGTCAGAACGGGCTCACGGCGTTGCATTTGTGCGCGCAAGAGGATTTCATTAGGGTGGCCTCTATTCTGGTAAAGAACGGGGCTGACGTGGAGAGTCAAACCGAGACCGGCTATAGGCCGATACACGTGGCTGCGTACTTCGGAAATTTGTCGATGATACGCTTCCTGCTGAAGCACAACGCCGAGATCGACGTCAGAACTAATCAGAACTACACCCCGCTTCATCAGGCCGCTCAACAAGGCCACGCTCATATCGTTACCGCTTTGTTGGAAGGAAATGCTTCGCATAAAGCGCGCACTAACGTAAGCTACTACCTCGCTGCTGCATATGCATTCATTTACATAATATTTCAATATCTTCGTAGCGCTTTAAATATATCGCGCTTCGATACAGTCGCAAAACTTTTTACTGATACAAATATTTTCTTTTATCGCTTTCTAACCGCAACAAACTTACATTTATTTAACATTGCATAACAATTATTGTCAATCACTATATCAATAAGTTACAAATTGAAAATTTCTATATCACGAGAAGAGACAAACTTCACTTTGCGAAATCTGACATCTTGTCGTTACTTAGGATGGTTTGACAGCGCTGAACATAGCTCAAAAATTAGGCTATATTTCTGTGATGGAAGTGCTGAAAGGATTACCTTACGACAGTATGACACCGGATAACAAAAACTGGGAAGAAAAGTACAAAGTTATAGCTCCAGAGAGTTTGCAAGAGACTAGTTTCATGTCCGACTCGGATGATGAGGGAGGTACGTGTCTGTCTACAAACACGAAGAAAACACGGAGAAAATATCGCAAAAATAAAAATTATATTTCCTTTTATAATGTTTTTCGTAAAACTAGAAGATACTGAAATTATAATATAAATTATTATAATAATCATAAAGACGATCTACCTGACACACAAAGTAAAAAGTATCCAAGTAATTACAAAAATTTTGTGGTAAAAGGTCAAATGCGCATAGCATATTTTCACATAAATTTATAATAATTTCGATCATAATTTTGTATGGTTTAAGATTACAAAAATTTTGCTGTAATTTTTACTATGTTCTCCGTGTATTGAAGATAATTTGATCTCTGAGATACACAGAGAAATTTTTCTCTTCAGGTTCTGACGCGTTGATTAGCGAACAGCCTTATCGGTATCTCACGGCGGATTTGATGAAAAGTTTGAGGGACGATTCGTTGCCCATCGACGTTACCAGGGACGATCCAATACACAGACAAGGTAATTCAAATTCTGTTAATAAATAGAGGTGTCTGCTTCATGAGCAACGTAAAAATAAAATTTGGGTTACTAACTCAGAATTTTAGCGAGGCTTCCGAAACTAGACTTACGCAATCTTGTGAAAATACGATTTGATCTTTTGGAGCCCGGCAATTCATCTCTGGCAATCATTTTTCTGTGATATTCCTAGCTCGAAACCTTTACGATTCGATACAAATATCACAGAGATAGTTGCGTAATGAAATGCCGGGGTTACCAAGGGTTAAGGCGGATACGCACTTACCTCGAACGTTATAATTATTCTTATTTTAGTTACGAAAGAAGAGAAGCAAGAATTCACACAAAGCAATAATTACTGTTTAGCAGAGAACTTCGACAGCACCGATGGATTAAATCTGGGGTGAGTACAATATATTATTAATCTTTTCTTTTTACAAAATAATATACATGATCTCCGCATACTTTTACCATATATTTGTACAGAATTTATCATTAATTGTTTGTTTATTTAAAAATAAAGTTATTGACCGTGAAAATGTAAAAATTTTAAAATAAGTAACTTTTGATTCGGATTCGAAGAGTATGCCTTTCTAATCGTGTACGTTTCATTTTATAGGAGGCTGCACTTCAGATCGTAAGTATAAAAGCGCTGAAGTTAAAAGGACAACGAGCAAATGAGCGCGAAAAGTCACGTGTAACCGGGATTTTATAGATTCTTAGTGAGTTTCCTGGTGGATGCACGTGGCGGTGCAATGAAAGGATGCAGACACAGTGGCGTGCGCATCATCGTGCCGCCTCGGAGAGCAACGATGCCGATTCGCGTGACGTGCCGACTGGTGAAACCTAACAAAGTGACGAATCCACCCCCATTGATGGAGGGGGAGGCTCTCGCTACGCGGATCATTGAGATGGGTCCAGTCGGCGCGACGTTTTTAGGGTAACGCGTGATAATTCAGACAATATAAAATAAAAATGTTTCTCGAAAGAAAAAAATTCAACAAATATAAAATATGTCCTTAATGTTTAAATATTTCAGCCAATTCTTACACACGCCATATACTAAATCTAGGATAAGTTTTCGATAATTTACAAGGAAATAAACTGATTATAGACCCGTGTTAATCGACATCCCGCACTTCGCGTCCGTCCGCGGTAAGGAACGGGAAATCATTATCCTGAGAAGTGAGAATGGGGAAACATGGAGGGAACACGATAATATCGTAGATAACGACGATACTCTTCTCAACACTCCTTACGGTATAGTTCGCGAGAGATCTGTCAATATTAAAAATTCCGTCAATTTATCGTAATCATACCGTTGCTCCCTTCAGATCCTCAGATGAACGCCACGCACTCGGGCAGAATTACTCGCATAATCACTACGGACTTCCCGCAATACTTCGCCATTGTGACGAGGATCAAGCAGGAGGTTCACGTGATCGGCGCCGAAGGTGGCATTTTGATATCGAGCGTGGCGAACCATGTGCAGGCCGTTTTCCCTGCGGGAGCATTAACAAAGAAGATCAAAGTCGGATTACAGGTGAATGAAAGCTCCGATCGCGCGACTACGCGACCATGAAAAACACGAGACTTTTATCTATTCTTTTTTTTGTCAGGCGCACGTTATTCCCGCTGAGCTTACGGCCAAATTACTCGGCAATTGTGTCGCCGTGTCACCGGTGATTACTATCGAACCTAGAAGACGAAAGTTCCACAAACCAATCACCCTGACGATTCCCGTGCCACAGGCCGCGAACAAGGGAATGATCAATCAGTACGGCGGGGAGACACCTACGTTACGGCTTTTATGCAGCATCGCGGGTATCTATGAGCTTTAGATTTTAAACAAAACAAAATTAATATATTGGGAAGAAAATAATTATACAAATCTCGTATTTATATGGCAATATGTAATCATATGTAATTGTACATGCCCATACCAAGAAAATTGCTGTTGTGCAAATTTCTGAATTTTATGTCAATAAACAAAGAGTTGCTGTTTTTCTTCCATAGAAATGTTATTGTGGTAAATAAAGATTGAGATTAATTTCAGGTGGCACCAACGAGGCGCAATGGGAAGATGTCACCGGTTCGACGCCGTTGACCTTCATGAATGACAGAGTGTCGTTTACCACTACCGTTTCCGCGAGGTTTTGGCTGATGGATTGCAGAAATATCGTTGCAGTACCGAAAATGGCGACAGAGTTGTACGAGGAGTCCCTATACGTACCGTATATAACAAAGTGAGTGAGCGAGCTTTCTGTGGCTCACAATTATCCGATTTTGATCTTCGCAGTAAAGTAAAAAAAAAATATTTTTATACACAGCTTCATTATCTACTCAAAGAGGATGGATGTGTTGGAAGCCACTCTGCGAATACTGTGCATGACCGACGGCAAAGAAGGCATGCATACTCTGGAGAGGCAAGAGGAATTTTTAGAAATCGTTAAAAGTCGTGATGTTGAGGTATTTGTGAAATTTTACGATATTGCAACGATTCTCAAACTGTCTCGATTTCATAACACTTTACGTCAATTAAATATTATTAACAAAATAATTGCAAAAGTGCACAATTGATCAATTTCGAGTTACCGATTGAAATTTGTAGCGTACAAAAATTTAAATAAGCGATTCGACAATCTTACCAAATTCAACTTTAATGAATGAAAATTACAAAGGAGAATCGCTGGTATAATGTTTCGATACGATTTAAACAAACTATTCTTGGGATGTTTGTTTAACAGGCACTCGATGGAAAGGATCTTTATATCGAATTTAGTGGCAACTTAGTGCCAGTAACAAAATCCGGGGTACAGCTGAAATTCACGTTTAAAGCTTTCCGACAAAATCGCTTGTCGTTTCATGTTAAAGTCAAGGATCCTTTATTGGATCCGGTTGCGAGGATGTTGTTTATGCGCGAGCCGAAAGTTGCTAAGGGCGAGCCAGCTCAACAGCCTATTTGTGTATTGAATATTGTGCTACCTGAAATTATTACAAAGGAGAAAATACAAAAGAAATTGAAAGGTACGTCCGTTTAATGTTTGTACAAAGAAGAGCGCAAAGTATCCCAAAAGTCGCCTATTTGCTCCAAATCAAACATATGATTAGCTAAGGCCCGGTTGCACAAACGTTATTTTGGTTTTAAGTGAGACTTAAATATATGTCTGTCTTCATTTATTTAAAAAGAAAGATAAAGATAGATATATGTTTAAGATATATGTTTCACTTAAAACCAAAATAATGTTGGTGCAACTAGGCCTAAATCGCGTACGATAATGCCGACGTTAATGTAAATTGACATTTCTTAGTTACCTATAACTTTCTCTTTCTGTTCTCCAGGTTACAAAGATTCTAATATCATAAATCAAAAGCTAGATTATTACAAATCAAAATACAAAACGGAACAGATGGAAAAGTCTGACAAGCCTAAAGAGACTTCGCCGGAGAAGAAATTCATAACGGACACGTTACAGAAAGAACAAACAGGTATGATATCGAAATCTCAGAGAATAGAACAGAATAGCGTTGTTCTCGCACGAAACACGAGCGCGGTCATTGAATATCCAGGCGAGCACTCCAAGAAAATTTCTTTCAAAAACGCGTAAAGCTACTCGCGTGTCGAGAGAATACTCCAGCTTAAAAAAAAAAAAGGAAAAAGAACGAAAAATCAATTTCGTCCGTGCGATACGGAAAAATTACAAGAAATGCAAGGTGCAAAAAGCGAACTTGTATGATGAAGCGCGTCACGCGTTTTATCGTCAATGAGTGTAACATTTCTATGGGAGGGTACTTCCCCTGTCATATCTAATGACGGGCTAAAACGATATCTTGAGAAAGGTCTGGGGACGTAGGTCGTTTGTGAGCGAAAGATACTTGCGAGACCGAGAGAAAAGAAAATATTTTCGAAGCGACAAGGTCGAAGGGATAGCGTCGAGTTGAGTGTCATTTCTCATCGACTCGAAGACTGCGAGACTCGATTGTCATTCTATTTTCATTTAAGGGGAGAAAGACAATCGGCTTACGGCTTAAAAGTTGGGTGAGGCTTCCTTAACTTAATTAGGCGTAACAGCATCAACAAATGCTCGAAAGTGCCGCGGCGGACTACTTTAGTTCGATCTGTGCCGACCAAGGAAACGGTGCAAATTTCATAACTATCTGTCCTTCAAGCGTCCAAAAGAGATTGCCAAAACGTGAGTCTTTTGTTTGTTTGTCCAAACAATCCCATTATTTGCTTTTTCGTTTCCCTTTCGTCTTGTTTGAGTTGAAGTGTTCAGCGCGACGATGATGGGCGTGTTCGCGATTCGCGAGATCCGCTTTGAGTACGAACTCGTGTCGCATAGCGAGTCTTGCGAATTACGAGCTTTCCACCTCATTCTTGCAGCGAGCTTCTCAACTAAAGCTACATATTATGATTATGTTTCAAATAATTTATTCAGAACTTCATGTCACATCAACGTTAATTTTCCCCACTTGCGTTTTTCAGTTTCAGGTGTTTTTATGTTCATTAGTAGTTTGCACTTATCGCGCGTAAACGTGTGTAAAAATCAAGCGGCCATGGCGGCGAAAGTCGACGAGCGCGATCGCGCGATTACGAAGCAGGATAGTCAAGCGTACGAGAAGGACTCTTCCTCCGGCACGAAGGTGAAGCGCAAGTCCCGCTCCGCTAGAAGGCGGCTGAACGCAATGATGAGTAACGCGTCCTTGCACTTCTCCGACACGGATTCCGAGGGCGAGCTGACCATCATCACCTCGAAGATCAGCAAACTTAACCCGGCGGAAGAGTCACCACTCAACAACGTATTGATCTCAGTAACCGACGCAGAGGCTGGCGAACCCGACAAGGCCAGCATCAACGACAACCTGGATTACCTCATAGCCGACGGCGCGATCAGGTCGCAGCTCAGCAGCTTCGCGGAGAATCTCACAGACATCGATGAAATCTACAGTGACGCGGAGACCGAGGACAAAGACAGCAGAAACAAGCTGAACATCACCGACAATGACTACCAAGGCGAGACCGACTTGGAGGACATGGAAGCCGATGAGGATATCCAGCCAACCATCTACGTGGTGCCACGAGAGGACATCTTGAACGAATTCGACGGGGAAATGATTACGACCAAGGAAGGCGACGGCCCGTTCTCCGTGGAGGTGCGAAATCGACTGTCACGCGAGGAAGTGTCCATCGACAAGGATACCGGAGACATGCCGGACATGCCGAACACCGATAGCGAAGACATGGAAGCGTCCGAGGACGAGAAGTTGGACGAGGCCGCGAGTCACGGGATCGTCTACGAGGATTTCGACGTTCTGGTCGCCTCGCAAATCGTCATGACCAATCAAACGGAGAACAACCTGCTCGTGCCGGACAACATCGACGAAGCGATCAGTGATAGCCACACTGACGTCGAAGATGTCGATTAAGTTGACAATACAATTGTAAGGAGAAGAAGACGAGGAAATTATGGGAAAGCTCGAAACGGCTCGAAACAATTCCCTTGAAGAACCGCTTGAACGATTTCCGCGATCTCTTCGATTGCAGATAGCAAGAATAGATTTACGAATACGAGGCTCCTCGTCGCGAATGATCAACGGGGTGTCATTAGGAATTATCGACCGGCCGTGATCGGATAAAGTCACACCGAGGATGTCTAATAGGATATGGCGCTTATGATTGTAGCGTTGTATAATCATAACGACTTATGCAGATGTGGGAAACCATGATTCGATTAGAGAGTCTTCATTGAAGGATTAGTGAGATTCTCAAAGCTTTCCTTGTCTGTCTCGTATAGCATCGAATGATTATCGGAATCTTCGGGAATGATGAAGAGGAACGATGAACAGGAAGTCGAGTTAGAGGATGTGGAATTCATGAACAAATGAACATTGTGGCTCTTCGAACCGAAAATGAATCAACAAGACGACGAAATGAGTGTTGCGCGTTCTTGAACCACTTTTACGTTAATCCCTTCTTTTTCTTCGTTATTCTTTGTCCTATTCCACGAGAGTTGCTCAAAAAGTAAATCCTATCTTCCTCTCGGCGAATATTTATTTCAAGAAGACGTGGGGAGATTTACGTTGAAAAGTGGAATGTGTCAATGGAGAATTTATTTTCGTCGCGTGTGAGCATACGCTCGATGTCCTTGAAATAAATATTTATCGAGAGGAAATGATAGAGGTGTTTATTATCTGAGCAGCCATCGTGTGTGCATCGTGTCAAGTTTGTCGCCGACTCTTTCGTTTTCCTTTTTGCACCGTGCCTAAAAAAAAAGATCGATGGGGGGAATATGACGATCTCGACAAAGCGAAATATCGTTTGATCGATTGTGAACAGCAAAAGATCACAATGACAAAACGTTCTTCTAAATAACGTTAGTCACTTGTGGAAAAAAGTTCGCTTATAACGATCACGTGATATGTGTCAAACACATTTTTTTCTCAATTGTTCGAACAATAACAAGATACGCGCGCGAATCGTCGAGACGTTTATCAACGAATTAATTCTTATATCTTTGTTATAAAACCGATAATAACGCAATATTTGTGTACTTGTTATAATTGCAGACCGAACTGCCGTCCTCAACATTATCATAGACAACCGTATGGGATATTAATACAAAAGAGTATGTCTCCGCAGTTTAGAGAAATTTTCTGTTATAAACTCTGATATCTATATATATACATATATTTAATCATATTATATACATATAATTATATATAAAACAATATGTAAATACTTATATAGAGATAATTATTAATGCAGCAACTTGGCAAGTGTTCTCTTCTCGTTTCTTGGCAGTGGTATTGCTTTTAGAATCAAACCATTATACGTGCAAAAAAGTGCAATAGAAAAAAGTTATAATAAGGGAAAGTTATATAACACGGTTCTATGCAAGTTTCGCCTATATATGATATATATTCGTCGTATTTGTGACTCTTAGCGTCGGTTACAACTTTACGACAGTTCTAATTATATGTAGTGTTACACACAGTGATTCTAATTATATCGTACATACGATAAGTTTAAATGATAAATCTCATTCTCACATATATATACCAAAAAGAGAAATAAACTAAAAGGACGAGGAATTTGTGTGCACTACGGAGGTTCTCGCTCGCCAGATTTCGCCGTGGATAAATGATAGTAATTGTAAATGAAAAAGATACACGCAAACAAACAAATCAACACACACACATCCATTCACACACTCGTACACTCATGATGTATCTCAGCCATTATAACGATGTGCTTAATAAAAAACATAATGTGAGCATAATTCTTGGTTGTTCTAGATGCCGCTACTATCCACGAATCCCTTGCACAAAAAGCGGCTTGTCCCCTAGAATCCGTAGATGCTAGTTATCCCAATAAAGTAGGCGTCGATCAGGAGCTGGATCTGTCGCCGGAACTCGAGAAGCAGACCTACTCGGAGAAGCGCAAGTTCTGGGAGGACATCTCGAGGAAACGCGCGAGCTATCAACGATCTGAGTCTGAGGTCTCAAGGGCCTCGCAGCTTACCATCAATGAGAGTGACAGCGAGTCCTGCCTGCCAAACGTCGTGTCCGAGGAGGATGGGACTACCGAGGGCATCTCGGATGTCATAAGGTCGGAGACCATCGAGGACATCAACGTACCGGACATCTCGGAGTGCTCAGTGGCGGAGAAGGCCCATTACTTCGAAGAGCAGATACAGAAAGAAATGGCGAAGGGCACGCCGAGACTGTCTCAGGAGTCCATCAAGTCCGAGAAAGATCGGCTGTTCAGGGGTAAGTCGATCGAAGATCAAAAAACCCGCCCAGAAAAGAGTACGCTAGAGATGACGAAGGAGAAGATGGAGATCGAGGAGAAGCATGTGGCGGAAGCAAGGGAAATAGAAAAGATCCTGAAGACTACGGAAGACATCAAATGGACAAAAGAGGCGCGAAGAGAGTCGAAAGACATTGATAAGAAGGAGAAGGATATGGATGAAGGCAAGGAGTTGCGCGAAGAAGTTCAGAAAATAATAGCTCAGCCGGTGATGGAGATTTGCAAGGAGCTATTGAATAAAGAGAGACAGCTTACCGAGGAAGCAGAGATGAGACGCATTAAGACAAGAGAGGTAGAAAAAGAAGCAACAGATGAGGAGCCGAAAAAGATGACAGAGATGTTCGCGAAAGTGGAAGAACGCGTGAAACCGGAACGTATGAAGGAGAAAGTATTGTTAAGAGCTGAAAAGTCGCAAGAGGAGACAGATGTGATAAGAAGGGAAGCCGTAAGGGATATAGAAGAAACGGAGAAAGTGGAGCAAATAATGGAAGTTAAGACAATATCGGACGAGACAAAAGCGAGAGAAGTTAAAAGAGAAGTTAAGGAGGAGTTTTCGAGACCGATGAAGACGCTCGAGGGAACGACAATGACTACAACGATAAAAGAGGAACTCACGAAGAGGATACCGGAGAAGCTGGAACTTGCTGAAGACGTTACTAAACTGAAAAGGTACACGGAAGAAACTCATATTTTGAGCACAGCACCGGAAATATCTAAACTTGCGGAAGCCACAACCGTCATTACGGAAGAATTCGCAATGCAAAGGAAACCCGACGTGTCAACAGATGTCGTGCAGGAAACTAAGGAGGAGCAGAGGCCTGAGACGCCGACAAGCAAGGAGGTCATTAAAGAAAAGTCATCAGGGAGACGAATAATCACGGAAGAGACAACGATTATTTACAAGGTGCAGAAGGACGGAACTTTGGTGCAGGAACAGATCATGAAATCAGTACAAATCGAGGGCGCGGATGGTCAGCCGGTCACACAAGTTCCCGAAGTGAGCATGGAAATGAAAGTACTCGACAAAGATATAACGGACACTGCATATGAGGTACAAATGACAGGCAATGTGGAGAGATTGCGAACGGAAATTAAAACCGAAACGGTTCCTTTGGACGTGAAAAAAGAGATCGAACAATTTCTCGAGGGAGAAAAACGGATGGTTGAAGAGGAAGCGGAAATGACTGAAGAAAGGAAACCCGTAAAAGAGGAAATCAAAATTAAAGAAGTTTCTGAATCGCAGCAAAAGGTAGAAGAAATAGTCATCAAACAAGCTGACGACACTACCTTCGAAAGGAAACCTGTCGTCGAGGCGGAGATCAAACAACTGAAGAAAGAGTCTCGCATTCCAATTTCCGCGGCGATGGCTGAGAAAGATAAGAGTCAGAAAGAAGGAAAAACCAAAACTTCGCCGGAAAAGCCCGAAGAAAAGCCGACAAAGAGTCCGGTCACAGAGAGAGAGAAGGATATTGCTTCGCCTCTCGGCAAGAAAAAAGAATTCGAATCTCGCATACCAAAACGTATCATGGAAAGTACAACGATGAAGGAGAAAGACGCGAAGAAGGATTTGCCAGGACGGAAGGACAGCGAGACGATCACGATCACCGAGAAAAAGTCCAGCGAAGAGGTAACGTCACGGCACGAGGAACGCTTAACCACGAAGAGCAAAATGCAGACGTTCTCTAAGACCTTCACCGACACGCAAGACGCGTTCAAGATGTTCGAAGATATGAGCGCGATGAAGGATAAGGATTTTGCGACTGTTACTTCAAAAATCGACACAAAGGCAACCAGCAAAGTAGAGAAGAAAGAGGTGGTTTCGTCAGAAATATCCAGTGGCGCGGATAAGTTCATCACTCATGAAGAAAAAGAGAGGGTGGAGCGGAAAAAATCCTCAGAATCTAAAGTGACTAAGGAGTCGCCGGCTGAGACGATAGAAGAGAAGAAGAGCAAGAGTGAGGAAGTAGACAAGACGACTGTGCAGAAAATGTTGATGAATGTGACGGAAGGCAAGGAAGTGATAGACGCAAGTGCTTCTGAGTCTAAAGTAGAAAGCAAGAAAGAAGGACTGTTCAAATCACTAGAGGACAAGGAAGGTATAGCGATGCAGGAATCTGGAACTACTAGAGTCAGAGAAAGTGACGTCGACGTGGCGATCAGGATTAAGAGGGATGACACGAAGAAGGTGGAGGACACAAAAGAGTCGCCTAAGGCAGCCGCTGAAGAAATAGATTTGGGGAAGATCGAGATGCTCGCGCAGGGACAATCTTATAAAGAGAGCTCGGAAAGTTTCAAGGTCGAACAGTTTATTCCTAGCCAAAAGACGCAGGACGAGGCAAGAAAAGACGAGGTATTCGCGAGTAAGAAAGATCCGGAATCTTTAGAGAAGAAACAACAAATAGTTGCCAAGAAGATGGAAGCGCGGAACATAGCGGAAGATCTAATACAGTCGATTGAGAGCGAAATCGAAAAGAGGTCTTCGATGTCAGGGTTGAAAGCTCAGATGTTGAGCAGAGAGTATATAGATCAACTAGTATCTGAGAGCAGCGATACCGACCATGAGAAACTAGCGGATGATTTGACGAAGAAGTTCGAGAGTATATTGAAGAAGTCCTTGGATGAGCAAACAGTGGAGGGCAAAGTGGGTCATCCGATATTGTCGAAGACGTCCGTGCATGAAGAAACGTTTGAGAAAGGCTCTACCAGAGATAGTATAAGCGAAGACTTAACGAAAGATGAAGAGTCGTCGCCGCACGACAGAGAGGAAAGCCTGCAGTCATCTTCACAAGCCCGGCTTCAGGACAGAGATATCACGATGAGTCCCAGCAGCATATCCGAACAGATCGATCTCGAAGGAACGATCGACGTTGACACCAACGAACTGGAGGACATATCCAAGCCTATATCTAGTTTACAATCCGAGAAACTTCGATCGGATAGATCCAGCGGCCACATCGATCCACTACAGAGAGATTTGTACAGTGATACCAGTTTATCCAAGGATAAAATTGTATCGGAGCTCTCAGGTGCCAGAGTGTTGGAGATTCTAGAACCAGGGGGAGACAGTCGGCAAGATTCGGTCGATGTGCCGTCCTTGGAACTAGACGAACACAAGTTCTCCGAGCAGACCAGCAGAGACGTGGCTTCTCTGCACGAAAGTGCGGCAATGGATTCTTTGGACAAGATTGTCCAAGAGAGAGACATGACCGTGAGTCCTAGTACAGTATCCGAAGATGTCAATGTGGATTATCCTTTGGTTCACGAGCAAGCAATAGCTCCATTGAGGGAGTACGACGCAGGAGCGCGAAGAGCAGATAGTTTTGAAATCGAGAGTCCGCCATTGGTTTCGCCGCGGACAAAATTAGTACACGATCTGGACATCAAACAAGTCAACTGGATGATCGGCGACGAGAAAATCGTGATAACGGAGACTCTACAGCCATCGGAAGCGTTCAATCAGGAATTGGAGGAGTATGAGCGGCGTGCTCGCACTTCTTCCCAGGACGAATCCGTGGATTTGGAACAGGAATCCGTAACTAAATCTTCGGAGGATATCAGCGTAATAGAGTCAGTTAAGGAGTCCATTGCAGGCGGTGACGCCGCCAGCGCGATCATCATGACAACTACCACGAAAACCAGCAAGTTCACGGTGATACCGGTAACCGAACCTGATTTGGACAGCGAACTGATAGAGGATAAGTTGGACGTCACGTGTCAAGAGCTAGTCGACACACTGCAACGGGAATACGACGCCAAAACACCGACGGATGAGTACACGGCTGGTGTGCGACAAGCGATACCTCGAGAGGATTTCGACCTAGAAGCGAGTATCACCGAAGCTGTGACAGAAGTAGTGCCTGTGAAAGAAGAGGAAGTGAAAGATTTGATCACGGAACCTGTGGCTGCGGAGATTATGACTTCCGAGAAACAGGATGTTTCTATGACACGAATAGAAACTGTCGAGCCAACTGACGTCAGTAAGGTTACTGTGACGAAAGCAGAAGAAGAATCCGCGCGACGCATACCTGAAGAAACGCAGAAGCAGCCAAAGGTGGATGAGTCGGATGAGACAGGAAAACAGAAAGAAGTCACGCGAGAAGAAGCAAAAGAAGCCGTTGAAGCTCAGAAAGACACCACGAAGGAGGAATCGGACTTATCAAAGAGTGCAAAGGTCGATGACGTATTGAAAGAGTGGACGGAGAGCTACCGGCCGAAAATGAGAAGCGAGGAATATAAACGACACATGGAGAAGAGCAGCGAGAAGCACGACAGACCGGGCAAGTCGACGACTGCGCCTACTGATACTTGTGCCTTCAAAATAAAGAAAGATGATCTGCAGAGCGTCGATTTGAGCGCACGATACGCGATCACGGTGTTGGATCAAGTAGTGAAAAAGGAGATCGCCGAGGTGAAGGAGTCCTTAGAGGCGGCCAAGCAGGATCTCATAGAGGAACTGAGTGAAAACAGCGAGACCATGATACAAATTAAAGATTCACCTTCGGAGTTTCAGTTCAAGCTCCAGCCAGAATCCATCCCGAACGACTTGCCATTTTTGTACAGACCACCGTCCATCGAACACGTTCCCGCGGAGCCCGAACCGGTAACCGAGGTTGCAGCTACACGGAGCGAATCGTCAGTTGCGAAGTCTCCAGAAGTCGACGAATCAACAGTAGAGCAAGTGAAAGAGACTGTCGTTGAAGACGAGCTGATTGCCCAAGCAGCTGCTACTGACGAGGATAAATCAGCTGCTATTGCTCAAGCGCCTGAAATCGATATTGAGAAACACGAAATTGAGACCGTAATAGCCGTCCAAGATGAATCGAAGGAAGACGAAGAAGATGATCATCCCAGTCCACTTCCCGCGAGTATATCAGGCTCGGACGTAGACAACAGAGACGATAGTTACTCTTTAGCACCACCCTATCCGGCTCCTAGAAGGCGTCAAAAGCCAGCAAGGATATCTAAAAGAGTAAAGACTTCGGAGAGCGAGGCTGGCTCGAGCTCTGGCGAGAGCAGCAACTATCAATCTTGCGATTACGAAAGCGGAAGTAGACCTAGCTCCTCAGATATTGAGGCGTTGCAATCCGCAGGCGTGCAATCGGGAACTGCTTCGGAATATGAAACAGCGATGATGTCGATTGAACAGTCAGCATCGAGGCCGACGTCTCAAGAATACCAAACTGCAGCAAGTACGCTTAGTTCACGCGAGTCCATGAAGTCATTGAATTCCTTAAGCTCAGGTCATCTCGGCAGCATCGACAGCACCAGCGAGCTGTCGGAGACGTTGGTGCCGTCAGACGTGGACGCGGATAAAGACGAGATCGATGAGAACCTGGAGAGCGCGTTGGACGCGGAGCAGGAAGCTGAGGCGTCGGATTCCTCTGGTAGTGACATACCAATGGATGAGGCAATGGACAAAATCGACAGTCATATACCGTGTCGCATGAAGCGCTCATCCGAGATGATCTTCCAGCAGATCATGGACGACAGCATGAGCATGGAAACAGAATCCATGGAAGAGGCGTTAGAGGAAGATGCCAGAGTCATGGACTCCGCCACTTCCGCCTTCATGGATGCGCCTGGAGCTCTTCAGTCGGTGGATATCATGACGTCACGGGTCACCGAGGATGGGGTTCAAAGCGTGTGTACGCAAGTAATCTCGACACGAGTTACGAGACCAAGCGACAGTGAAGATCTCGAGGAAGAGCCGGAAAGAACGGAGAAAAGCGCAGAGAGAGACGTAGAGACGACGGACGCGGAAACGGCGGAAAACCTGGAACAAAAATCGGGTGATGAGGTTGGCGAGGACGGTATCGAACCAGTGGCGCAGACATCCGTTCACTCGATGCTGCAGCAGGCCAGTATGTCCTTGTCGTCGGCGTCGGGCATGTCCTTCGACACAGTTATAGAGAAGGACAAGTCCGAACGCCACTCTCATTCTCCCGACAGCGACTCATTCGAGCTCGTGGACAAGCCCGACATCATCGACGACTTCGTAGTGATCGAAGAGGTCGGACGGGAGGCGGAGGAGTTCGACTCCGAGGGCAAGAGCATCCGCATCAGCTCGATACCTCAGGTAACCAACAAGAACTACGACCGCGACCTGGAGAACCTAATCGCGGAAAATAAAGAGGACACGCAGGTGTCGACCAGCCAAGCATCCAAGAACAACGAACTGTTTGACTTCGAGTCCGAAGAAAGTCCGCCACAGGCATCCAACGACGAGCAATACTCGCAGTCTTACTCCGACGAAGAGCAATACGAAGGTAAGAAATGGATAGAAATGCAGTTCCACTCGGACGCGCGAGTCTACGACATCGAATATGATCGCGGGCCGTTAGAGGACATCAAGGAGGAGGAAGTCACGGACTTCGAGGCCGGTAGTAGTAGATTTGGCAGCCTCGGCAGCCACAAGGAGTCGATAGGTAGCGTGGGTAGTATGCGCGGTAGTTTCGGCAGTACACCGGAATACGACGTTCTCGCCGGTAAAAAGTACTTCAGCAAACCCACGGACGACACCGTGTCGCTCACCTCCTTGCAGGAGTTCGAGCACTTGGAAAGCACCGTTGCGGCCGAGAATTCGCGGCGGCTGCAGTGCGGCTCGCAAGACTCCATCAACAACGGCAGTCTTCCGAGGAGATATATGACCGGGCGCTCGGGCCACGGTGACGACGTCTCGTTGTCCTCATTGAAGGACTTTGAGGGTCTGGAACGAGCCTGCAGGGAAGCGCATCTCATCGAACTGCGTGCTCGCGAAGAGGAGGATTTGCTGGAGCACGAGAGCCCGGAAAACAAGTACAAGATGGAGAACCTGCCGCGCTCGCGGACGGAAACCAGCGCAGCAGGTTCGTTCAACCCCAGCACTTCAGGCTCGGACGACTACGAAAAAAGGATAAAGGAAATCGACGAGATCATACGAATCGCACAGTCCAACGTGGAGAGGCTCGATCGACAGGATGACACTACGGAGGACATTTCGCAGATCGAGATCACCGATACCGAACGAGTCGTCGCGCAACCGACCTCACAGACCCTACCGGAAGAAATGGAACCTGAAGTGGAGGAACGAGAGGAAGAGGAACAAGCTCGAGCGCAGAAGGAGAGCAACGTTATGGAGACCAGCACAGATTCCTTGGAACTGGAGGATAACGCGGAGAAGAAATATCACCCGCTCTGCCGCAGCTCCGACTCTCTGGAGATGAAGACTACCTTAGACTTCCCGTCTCTGAGCTCAGACTCGCTCAACAACGTGAGGGATACGAGAGAGACGCCACTTGACGCGGCCAGTGGCAATCAATTCGGTGGTAACGGCCGACGTATCTCGTCGGATTCTCTTGACATGCCTTTGCTGGAGCAACAGGATGTCGGAGCGTCCGGGAGAAGAAGCAGCGACAGCGACGGCCGTCACGCAGATGATGTGCCGGTCGACAGTTCCGCGGAACGAACACCTTCAACGGAGACTCACGCGAGAAACGGCAAGACGAAAACGTCACCAAGTAGCGGTACATAGAACAATTTTCGTAGGTGAGTTTGCAAAATAAAATTCCTATTGGGAATTATTATTGCAATTGTGTACAATACTTTTCTCTGAAACAAAAATATTTGAAAAATTATCTGTAGGATAAAAGTTTATTTGATATTTTAGGCTTTCGCGGTGTCTATGCGTATTAGATTTTATTTCCGGGTTTGAGCCGCGTGGATACTTTGTTTGATTCCGACGTTTCGCGAACATTTCAGTCCGCTTCATCGAGTTCGATGCATCGGGTCGTTCCTCCCTGATGAAGCGGACTAAAATGTTCGCGAAACGTCGGAATCAAACAAAAAAGTATCCACGCAGCTAAAACCCGGAAACCAAATCTAAAAGTTTATTTTGCAGAAATAAATAGTTTATTTCACAAAAATAAACTTTATATCCTACAAACAAATCTTCAAGTATTTTCTCTCAGTTTAGCTAAAAAGAAAGCACAGTCTCTTAATTCAGACTGCTACGATCGATCGATTAATTGCATTATCGATTTCCCTTATCGACAGCACAGATATCCAGGGAACGTTATCCTGAGTACGTTCTGAGAACGTCCCAATATCCTCAGAATATCCCTGGAACGTTCTCAGAAGTTCTTGTGCTGTCTGGGTTATTATTATCACTTTCGCTTGTTTCATATTACAGATAGCGGACCATCGAGAACTTGCCACGACTTCAAAAATATATTACCGAATAACTCAAGAGGCTTTACATGTAAAACACGATATTAAAAAAATAATGTACTAAAGAACTTGTGCATTGTGGATATATAAGATACTATTATATTCGTCTTTGTTTTACGCGATGTCTTCTGAAAGCATTTACATTGACGCTTAAGTAAGATATAGTTACGAACTTCAAAATATAATATTGTTTTGTTTTTCAAGTCGAGGAGACGGAGGGGAGGAACGCTTGCTTGTTTATCACTATTGGATTTTTGGACAGACGCGACTCGCGACGATTTTCTTGGCTGTATTCGTTCGACTGGAACGCGAAGCGATTTTGCTTAAGGCTAATATTATATGCATCGTACGACAAATATTGTCGGACGTATCGATTAGCTGATAGATATAATTCTCCTAAGGTCCCTCACTTTTTCTCCTGGTATCCCAAAATTTCTCTATCTGACAGCCAATTAGAACGTCCGACAAGTTTTGTCGCACGACACGTGTAATATTAGCACAACTGTTTTGGGAGTCTTTACATACGAACGTTACGTTGCGTTTTTTGAGCGTATATATATATATTATATATATATACATATATTTTAAAAAGTGCTACTTACGTGTTCTACTTGTATTATAATGCGTATGTCACTTTACTGTACTGTAGCGTGTTTTATAAGCGTTTTCATTATGAGACGGTCTTTGTGGATGCGCTTTCGTAAAATTTGATAATGTATTCGACGTACCTCGTGTATCTCGCGTAATCATTTCAGGCGACGTTTAAGGCAGAGAGAAAGAGAGAGAGAGAAAAAGAGATCAGAAAAAAATACAATAATACTACTTTATAGTGCATGTTCACGCGAAGGAACGAATACATAATATTTAAACAGATAAAAATTTTATATGCAAATATAATATTTAGGACATTACGGATGGCGAGGAAGTGTAATACATTTACGTTGAAAACGGATTCGACGATTGTTTAACAATTACATCTGTTTTTTTCCCTCTTCTTTTACCGAGTACGACGTTACTAATTACGTTTACACGTGCACTGTATATTATTACAAGTTAACAATGTCATTTGAGAAGTTCGTTTCCTTAATGATGAAAATATACATCTGTGCATTATCTCTCGAGAGCTATCTTACGAGTGTACATTTACCTCCCCCATTCATGAGATGCAATGCAAACATCAAGTAACAATTATATAACTGCTCGTTATAACTTCTCACTCAACAATGTAAATGCAATATAACGCGTGTGTCATAATAGTTATACCGTTGAATAGGAAATTATAACTAATAGTTGTATTACTGTTACTTTATGTTTGCTGGGTCGTTATCATGTATCTATGGCATCGAAAATTAAACTGACTAAAATCACATTAACTTCAACCCTTATAATGTTTCACGAACGTCAAGGTGTTACCATCGCGAAAAAGAAATACAGACAGATATGCTTACCTCAGGACTGAGTCGGCTCTTTGTTTCATAAGAATAGAAGATTTTAAACGTTCCGTATAACGTAACGTATAATTTCGTAAAAAGTGCAAAAATGATTATACGTAAAATTATGCGAATATAAAATAAATGCACGAAAATAAAAATTATACAAATATAATTAATTATTTTTCATTTTCACAATTTCATAGAAATTTCTACGATAACACTTATGCAAGCTATTCACGATTTCTCTTCTGCGAGCGAGAGCTTCTGGAATTTATCGAACAATAACGATCGAAGGACTGAGACGAATTATTTACAAACACCGTCAAGTACCATCGAAGGCGCTGAATAAAAATTCGTTACAACCAATAAGGCCCGCGCGATACGCGCAAGCTTGTAAATATGTATATATAAATTCATATTTTCGCGCACACAGTAAAATTATATATATTAAGACAAAATTAAATATACAAAATGAAATGTTTTTAAGAATTGCAAAATTGGCTTTCTATAGTTATCTTCATAATATTTAAATAACAATAAAAATAATACTTCATTTTGAAGATGTCATTATATAATTATTCAAATAGGTAATACAAGGCTGCTAGTTTTTTATATTAATGTTATTAATATTAATGTTAAAAATAATTAATATTTAATATATATTATTTATACTATATATCCATCAAAGTTACGAAAATCAAGTTTAATACGACACGAACTATGTTTGGAATGAAAAACTTTGCATTCGGGCGACATCTATAGTGATATTATAGTTACAATGTCGCGTCGATAACATACTGTCGGTAACATAGGAAAATATTGAGGTCATTAAAATTTTCAAGTTATACAAACAATTCAAATTATAGCGAATTTGGTCACCCGCACTAGACCTGGTCAGTGTATATTGAAAACTGTTACACATGAAACAATTATTTAAATAAGAAAGAATATAAGCATTTAGAATTATTAAATACCTAACAACTCAGATAGCACAAAATCTTCAGAGAATGTTCTGGGACGTTCTTAAAATGTATGAAAATCTTTAGAACGTTTTCAGAACGTCTTTTGAAGATTTATACTGTATGGAAATGATATTACATTAATTAGTAGAATATATATTAACTGTTTCTATATAAAAATCCTTTTGTTATGCTATTATATTTTGATATTTTATGTGTAATAGCCTTTAGTGTGCACTGACCCGGTGTAGTGTAGTTTTGTTGTATCGCGTTATCGATACTATATATATTATAGCAGGTAACTAATATCGGTATTAAGTAGACTAATGATAAATTTTTACGAATAAACTTAACTCTTTCAAAGAAAATTTTAATAGTTAATTAATTATTCCATTGAGGAAGAATTATTGACGACATTTATTTGGGAATAATAAAGTCTACACTCTATTGCAAAATTCATTAACAAATTAGCGCACTTTCACATTAATTTGTACGTGTCTTGTGCGCGCGAAATTTACGCGATGGCATTGACCGGCTATTATAATCTCAAAATTTTTATTATAAGATTTTCAATAGCGAGATTTAGCAGATGTTGTGTCCAATTTGATGACATTTTGGTAGCAAAATTTGTAGTCAAGTGTTGGACAAAATTTGTTCGAGCAGATTTGGCTATCTGCGTGGTTATACAGGGTGTCCCATAATGATTAGTAAATCTTGGAAGGAGTGAAAGAAGGTGGAATTTTGAACTAAAAGTTCCTTTTCCACTTTTGGCTCAAGCCATTATTTACCGAGTTATTAACTCTTGATTGTTTCCCAATTAACCATATTACGCAGGTGCGTCGCGCACCGTGCTACCTCTCGTCCTTGCCCGGGATACATTGCTTCTGTTAAAATTTTGCCAAATTCATTAATACATGAATAAATAAATAAAAACAGTTAGAAATCGATTAATTAATTAATTTATTTCAGAAAATCATTAATACATTGTCCGAAATTAATAAATACATAAATAATTGATGTCAATTATGTCTTTTTACGTTTTTCATCATTTGAAAAAATAAATATATAAATAATTAATTAATTATTATTTAAATTAATTAATTTATTATTTTAGAAAGTAATAAAAATGTAAAAAGACACGATAAGACATCAATAAAATTTATGTATTCATTAATTTCGGACAATGTATTAATGATTTTCTGAAATAAATTAATTAATTAATCGATTTCTAACTGTTTTTATTTATTCGTTCAGGTTTTTTTTAGAAAGAAATTGAGGTGGAAGAAAAAAAGTTTAAATGCAATTCTTTAATTTAAAAATAACCAAATATTTAAAATAATGTAATATTTAAGTAATGTAATATTTAAAGCAATGTAACCCGGGCAAGGACGAGGGGTGGCACGGTGCGCGACGCACCTGCGTAATATAGTAGCGCGCCTTCTCATTGGGAAACTTCAAGAGTTAATAACTCGGTAAATAATGGCTTGAGCCAAAAGTGGAAAAGGAACTTTTAGTTCAAAATTCCATCTTCTTTCATTCCTTTCGAGATTTACTAATCATTATGGGACCCTGTATAGGCATTTATATATAACCATGTGTCCATTATTGAATAGATTCTTGTCTCAGTATATGTCTCAGTGGTGTGGGAGGGGGGAGGGTGTAATATGGGTGTGTATTGATATGTGTGTATTTGTATCGATAGTTATTCTATTAGTATGTCTGACATTATTATGTCCAAAAAATTGTGTGTGTGTGTATACGTGCGTATGTGTGTATGTGTTGGTTTTTTTATCAGCACCTCATAAGTTATAAAATATCATAGTTTCAGTCAATTCGACTGAAACCACTTTTTTCATATGATTGTGCGGGGTCCTTTTTATTGGACATTTTTCCTCGAAGATTGTCAAAAATGAGCTCTCCTGCACTGAACAGCCTTTCGACGTCTCGCGACACCTCTATGGCATGATTAACTACAAGATAATTGAATTAAAAATTAATTGTTACCGATAAAATGTAACTAAATTAAGTTAAAAGTTAAGAGTGTAAAAATGTAACTAAATTAAGTTAAAGCTATTTCACTTTTTAACTTTTTAACTAGTTACTATCCAACCTTGATATTTTGCCACGACAAGGTTTCGCTACAAAACTTATTTCCGACACTCTTAACGATAATTCATGCGCGAGACTCTCCCCCGAAATTCACGAATCGTCGCAGCGAACGCGTAACACTCTGTTGAGCATTTCTGACGGTTCGTGTCACGAGATCTTCACTTGCATCGATCAATTCAACGACGTTTATCATTACAAGACGAGTGAAATTGACTTTCGTTACTTCCCAGTAAATATGCATGTCTAAAAGATGTCGAAAATATATCTAAAAGATAACAAAATGTTGCATAAGATATCTTTTAGATATCTTTTCGACATCTTTTAGACATGCATGTTTACTGGGTTTTGACGATAATACGCGCGCAAAACTCAGATCAAACTAATAAAAATCGTAATACATACAGAATAACTTCCCGACTCATATCGCCGCGTAATGACCTGTCCATGTCCAATCAATATATTTTAACAACTGCGACTTGTGAGATATCGATACGATCGACGCGCATGCGTCATATTGAGCGTGAATAACGTAAAGTTCTTTCAAGTAATATATAATTGATTTAATATTAATAATATTGAATATGCAAAAGAGAAAAAACAATATGTATAATCAATACTATATAAACAATGTCCTAAAAAACCTATTTTCTTAACCAAGTTAATAAATATCTGAATGGTTTAGCAAAAAATATAATATTAATTGTATTATTTATTATACAAAGATAGTGCAATAATATGACAATTAAATATAAAATCAATCTTTCAACTGTTAGCAGCCACGCAAATTCTTGCATTTTTTATAACATTTTGTCAATATTAAAGCTTGAAAATGTATACAAAATCTTAATGGTCTCATAGATGGAGTGGATACAATCTTGAGATAATTATATAATTAAGAATTTTAATTTTACGCTGAATATAAATAAATCAATTATATAAAAATAATATTATTTGTATAAAAAACATAATCAATTATACACACACACATTAAAAGTAAATATTACAATTACCATATTACAATTTTTATAAGAAATATTAAAAGTCTCTATTGATATATAGTGTATAATTATAGCATTATAAACAGTTGATTATATAATTATAACACTATTATCATAATATTTATAATGTTATTATAATTAAATTATAAAATTATCATAACTATATCTTAATACATTATTTATATTGTTATTATATAATTATGATTAATACTAGTTTTATATAATATATTTAATATATTATAATTTTAGATTTTGATAAAGATAATAATAACAATACCACAGTATTGTGTATTATTTTTCTCTGTAAAAAAATATAATGACAATCATACATATGTCTCAAAAATATATTTTAACAATGATTAAGGAACAATCAAATACATATTGCGGTATAATATTTATTTTTATATTTATATTATAATATTTATTTTTCAATTGTTAATATAAGTCTTGTAGATAAGTTTGTACGTGTGTATGTAGTAAAATAAAATGAGGAATGAGTGATAAAATTTGACTTTGTAGTAACGTTTTTAAGAGAACAAATTTTGCATAGCATGGTGTAAAAAATATTAATGTATGATAAAATTTTATTTCGTATGTAATAGTTTTTACTAAAAGATATAAAAATTCATGCTAATAATAGAAATAATAATACACTAGTAAAACTAATATAAAACTAGTAAAACTAATAAAACTAGTAAAACTAATAACTCACTTTAATTATATTTCTTTAATTTTTCCAGTATATTCTATTTATTAGTTCAATATTTCCATTAATTATTTAATGACTTAAAAAATATCTTCTTATTCTACTCGTAGCTTCACTTTCTCTGTTCGGATATTTGTCCGAATTATTATTATTAAATCCTTTCTTTGAATTTGGAACTCCTTTAATATTCACATTAAAGTCCACATGATTGCTCCGAAGAAAACTTTTCATTATATATAAAATTTTGTTTTTTAAACTCGGTTGTAACTTTGGCATCTCCGTCGAAGCACTGTATACTATTTGTGAATATTCGCACGCATAATCTCTTGTCAGTTTTATAAGGCGAGGTATCCAAATACAATACAGTGAAAAGAAATATAAAATATAGACGCATCTGTCCATCGCAAACTGATTATATGGCATGATGTACAGATAAAATATACAGCGTGAAAATTCAAGGAGAGCAATCCTATTGTCTCTATCAAATAACAAACCAATGCTGGTGAGAGCAAGTACATTATTCAGTACCATACATATTTGTAAAAATGACACACTGTTAAAATCCTGTAAACAAAGGACCAAAAGTCAATTATTTAATACAAAAGCGCACTAATTATAAAATGTTATCAATTATAAAATTGTTTAGACAATTGTTCAGAGATAATTGCCCTGGTAAAAAAAAGTTTATAGAGAACGATAGAATAAAATTCTATCGTTCTATCGTTTTCTATCGTTTTGAATATGGATTTTGATTCGTGAATTCACAAATGTGAATAGTATTCTATCGTATATAATAAAATACAATAGATAGTGATAGAATTTCTATCGTTAGTTTCCTATAGAATACAAAGTCGTATATAACCAGATAAAATACGATAAAATACGTTGAATTCATATCAGAACTTGCGAGCGAGAACGATACAGCTTAAAGAAAACGATTCAAATTGATAGCGTTATCAATTTAAATCGTTTTCTTTAAGCTGTGTCGTTCTTGCTCGCAAGTTCAGATATCCTATCGTATTTTATCTGGTTATACACGATTTTGTATTCTATAGGAAACTAACGATAGAAATTCTATCACTATTTATTGTATTTTATTGTATACGATAGAATACTATTCACATTTTGTAAATTCACGAACCAAAATCCATATTCAAAATGATAGAAAATGATTATTTTATTCTATCGTTCTCTATAAACTTTTTTTACCAAGGTGAACTTACAATGAATAGAACTCACCATAAGTTTTAGTTGACAATAACTGATGATAACCGTAGCAAAATGTAAAAAAATATATAGGAGTTGCCAGCCAGGTACGTAAGGGTTATACGCATGCCTTTTCGTTACCTATAAACCAATAGAACAATATCCTTTAATATTACAATCTAAATTATATTTGCCTTTTATTTGCATTTCGCGTCATCTACTTATCTAGGAAACAAGATGACGTTAAATGACGTCTTAATGACGTATTACTGACGTTTCTAACGTCAACAATACGTCATTAAGACGTCATTTGACGTCATCTTATTTGCTGGGTTAACAATGTTAACCCAGCAAATACTTATTCTCTGACTTATTCGCAATTGAATGAAATAAAGTGACAAGCGTATATTCGTGTACTCTTAGTCTCATCTTCATTATCTTACATATATTTTATAATGATCCAAGCCCAAACGTGGTGCACCTGGAAACCAGCTGGGTCCTTTCCAGAAAGTGCCGATTTTATTACACCAGGTATACATAGTTGCGCTCTTTTTGTATATTGCCCTTAAGTAGTGTAGCTGCGAAATCAAGAAGGAAAAATTATGATGGCAGTAGGATTTTAAAATCATCAAGTCCTTACATGTACATTTGTTTCATTTTGTTACTATTTTTATTTCTAAATCTCTGACTCTCGTCTCTCGCTCATCTTTTCTATTCTATATTCATCAGTAAACTATATTACTCGTAAAGAATAGAAAGTATTTTTTACCTGTAAATAAAGTGGGTTAAATGACTCAGAGTTGATCACCAGACCATAAACGATTTCTTCTTTCTCCTCTTGGAACGTGCCGAACAATCGATCCCATATGATTAACACACCACCGTAATTCTTGTCCAAACAATAAAGATTGCAACCTGCAAATATAATGCAAATATAAAGGAGCGTTTGTAATGTGTGCCGCGAGATGCGCGTCGCATTTTCGACATACCATGATGAACGCGATGATGCTTGGCTGTATTGAAAGCCCAATCCAACGGTTTACAATCACCAATAAGTGTTGTATGTAGACACAGCTGATATATCATATTGAACTGTTTATGACTAATGAAATGCGATGGTGGTATAAACAAGGTGAGAGGCAAGTAAAATATCTGCAAAATTTTAATTATATAGTTGTACTACCGATAAAAATCATTTGAATTGCCAATATTAAATGCACAATTTTACTAAAATCCTCAACAGCCGTTATATAATTTCATTAAACATTTATTTTATTAAATTTAATACTTTCATAGCATTCCTTTTTTTGTAATCTTTCAAATTTTTATTTCCCTTAATTAAAAGAGAGATGTTTGGTTTTCACACATTTTACATTAATCTTATTTAAAAATCCTGAGTATTATAAGATATATAGAGGAAAATAGCAAAAAGCGACATAGGCCTCCTAAAGCGACACCTCTATATCTCATATATTAAATGTTGTATTGAAACTAATATAAACGTAATTCGTTTTATCAGTTAAATCATAAAAAATTCATACTTGGTATATTTCTTGTTTTTTTATATGCTAAATTTATATGCAAATATCGAGTTTTAGAAATTCGTAAGTTTTATTTATATGATTTTTATCGACAAATTACATAGACTAAATAGCGATAATTATCATTTTGTTCAATATTAATTTCTTCTACATGCATTTGGCTTTTGTAAAAATATTTTATGAATATTTTTACCTTCATCACTTTTTTACTGTATAACTTGAAAATTTTTAAGAGAATGTGTCTTAAAATGACATACCTACAATATGCGATAGGTGCGATATTCTGTGACTAACATAATTTGATTAATAACCTGCCATTGTGACGTGACATTTGTTTATTTTAAAGTTGAATTTTATTTAGTTTAAAAATATAACATGTAAATATGTGAGAAAATGAAAAAGATGAAAAAAATATGTATTTATTTAATTATATTTCTCTTTTATAACATTATATTTTGAATAAATGAATATTATTCAACCATTAAACGCATTAATGAACTATTTATTATCAAATATTATCATATATGCGACATGTTATATAAATTCCAATATGTATGTCGCTTTTGGTACCTATTTTCTTTGAACTCCATTTTCGTGCGTTTTACGAAAACATTTTTTTGTTTTAAATCTAGAAATAGTTTCAGTAAAAATGTGATATTATTTGATAGGAGGTACTTTCAACTACGTATATTTATATTTACATTTATATTTTGAGCTTTATATTAAGACATAACGTCCAAAAACAAAGTGATATGTCGCTTTTGGTGTCTTTACTCTAAATATAAAATTCTGAATAATTGCCTTTTTGTAGTTTAAAGATCTTTGTTGACGTTTCCATTAATTTTTCTTTCTCAATTAATATTTATAAGTGATACAGAGCAATACAACGACGACGATACTCACAAAGTTGCACCAGCTTTGCAAAATGGACTGCCGCAAGCCGACCGCGAGACTGAATTCCTCGCTGCTGTGATGCACTTGATGAAAGATCCATAAGAAAGTAACTTCTGCAAATAAGTAATTAGTTTAGCCTTTAGTTAGTAAAAGGTAAGTGAAAGGCGCGACCACTCGTATTGCAAGTATAAACAGAAATTTAACCGTGGTTTAAGCGATGAGCCCAATAGTAACAAAATTCCACGCTAAGGGCGGCGATAATCCACGTCGATGGTGCATTCCATACTAAATCCAACAAATGATATTTGTTGTATAACTGGATGTATATATAATATTCAGCCCCACGTGAGAAAAATCTGGAAAAGCCAAAAACGAGCTTCTATCAATTAACTCATACCAATATATAATAATATAACATAAAATATAATATATTAAAACCGGAAAATTAAAAAAGGGCAAATCTTTACATATCGATTTATATCATATTTAATTACTCATTGTTTTATCTCCACCTATCTTTTTCTTAATGGTTATTTATGCTTACCGAGCGGTTTCATCAAACAACCAGTGAGATAGAGACGTTATTTGTTCGTTCCAACGAACTTTCTTCTCGTGTTTCGCGCATAATATTATCTGCTCTACGATCAATAACAGAAAGAACGGCAGCCATATCTGAAAACATCATTATCTTTTATACAGAATGTATAGAAGGTCAAGCTCACTCGCGCTTCGCATCAACTATTCGCGCCACGCATAAAGGAGGTCTGGACAAAAATAGCACGCATACGACTCGTTAACGAATCGTGCAACTAGACGTATTCGTGATAATCAATCGCATGCCAGTGAACACGATCAATGAATCTGTGTTTATTTTAAAAGAAAAAAGAGAAGATATTAAAGAAGTGATTAAAAAATTAGATGATCAAATAATGAAATTCACGATTGCGCTTGAAGAATTTTGGAATCGCCCAATACTTGCGAATTCTCAGATCTCTGATAATTGAAAATTGAAGAAACTAACGTTGAGCTATTCTTTCCAATTACTTATTATTTATCTAATAATTTATTTCATGGATAATTTTTTCGACAATGAGAAAGAATAAAGTTGCAGTAGTTAAAAACAAAGCACACAATTCAAACCCAGATAGCACAGAGAATTCTAAAAGAATTCAGTCGTATGTCACAATTCATTTTTAGATACAAAAAGAATTCTTTTCACTAAACTGAACTCTGAAGAATTCTTTTTACATTTGAAAATAAATTCAGAATTGGTGACATATGATTGAATTCTTTTTGAATTCTCTGTGCTATCTGGGAAAATATAACAAAAGAACTGATAATAATATATATGCAACAGCATCGTAATAATTTATTGGCAGTGCGACATTAATAAGTGCGTATATCAATATCCCACGTAGTCTTGCGCGTTATAAACCGCTATAAATTCTGTATTGTACCAAATATATATAAATGTCCAAAATAAATAAATTGCACTGTCAGTAAATTCAATTCGAAACAACCTTCCGACGGAATTGAAATTAGCTGTTATCTTTATTGTATTTAGAGAGAATATAAATATAGCGTTTTTCAAGCTAATAAGAAAGATGAAAAAACGAAAGATGTTCAGAAATTAGAAAAATAATCATGAGATTGCGCGACGTGCAAAATTACAGTTTCATTAAAGCAATTAATAGAAAATAGACTCGATCTACACAAGTACGGGTGAAAGGAGGAAACTTCACGAAGAGGCAGGCGTGGAAATTGTTGACGATTTCACGAGTAGCCTTTTCGAATTATCAACGAATTATCGTTATTCGAATTATCAGACATGACTTCATATGAAAGATTAGCTGCTTCGATAGGAAAGTATAAGAAAAAACTTTCACGTGAGCATGCAAACTGTTTGTACTTCTCTCAATGTTACCTCCTGCCAATGATCCGGCACTTGTTCTGGGTGCTCGTAAGTCGTTTCGTTAAAATTCACAAGATAAAAAAGTTTCCTTGCGCCTTTCCAAAATGTGTCAGCACCTGTCACGTTCATCTTGTGTACTCGTCGACCACGCTTAAACTATCCAAAAACTACAAAAAACGAGAAAACATCCAAAGAAACGCCGAGACAAAATCGCAGTCGTCTCACGGACGTATCTTCTTAAGCAAGTTAAAACGTTCGGGACAAATTTACGCACCGGTTTAATCGTATATAGCGTGTACGTGTCGTTTAATACGAGTTTAAGCTAAACAAACAGCATGACGACGAGTTAGAGACTAGATCTATAGAGAAAATAAATATTACTCATCAGTAACGTAAACACGAGCCAAATATCCCGCGAATTCGCACGACATGTAATTCTATCTCGTCAAAAGTGGCTGTTTCTCAATGACTTATTAAGATGTATCGGATTAATTGTTTCGTTTATTGATAATCGCGTTGAGTAACTTCCACTTTTTACTACTTTTTACTACTTCCACTTTTTACTTTTTACACGCAAAGAAAAGCAATAAATATCGTCTCGAGATTCGATATGAATTTTAGAAATATATGTGGCGCAAATGAGAAACACGGTAACGCGTTGATCCACAAGCACGTCGAATTCTCGTTTTTCTGACATAACACACCGACTAGTCAACATAGTAATTTAAATTATCAAAATTTTAACTGTGATTATATTGGTGATAACAATTGATGATAATAAAGTACAACAGTTCACGCGATAAATAATATTGATAAGAAGATATTATAAAATGTCAAGTTACAAAACAGGCTCCCTAATCTTAAAGTGTTTGCGTATACCCATCGTTATGCAGGTATAATCATATTATAAAAGCTGCGCAATGACACTTATTCGCAACCATTTCAAGAAGCCTCGCGGTGCTCGCGACATGAGCGAATCGCCACGCGTAGTTGATCCTATTCGGATTAATTGTCACGACGCACGGCACACTTTTCGCACAGAGTAACATTGAGATGCAACGACGGACGAGAAGACTGCAGTCACATACGTTGGAGTAGTCGTACAGTCAACGCATTCCCCCTCCATTTAGTGCTCTAAGATAGCAGATAACAGACTTTTCGTAGCGTAGATTGCTTCTTTTATTTCTTTTTATGTGCGCGCTTACAAATCACGTGCGAGACCCGTCGATTTGTTTCGTAATCGTCAGTCGTGAATTAAAAATGCGAGGAACGTCATATTCGCTGCGATGAAAAATTTTCCTGTTCGATAGATCAGCACGAAGAAAAAAAGCTCATGAAATAATTTATTTGAGGGAGCAATTTCGTAATATCAATCTCAGATATGATGTTTGATAGTTTGTAATAATAATTAGGAATAAGCAGGAGAACGCGAAGAAACAAAAATATACGTGTAGTAATTATGAAGTCAATTGTTAGTAAATTAGAAATCTATGAATTTTTAAAACCAATTTCTATTAGTTTTCTGACTTAGTTGTCTTTATATAAATCATTGTTATACACACGTAAATATTACATTAATAAAATATCAAATAGCTTTCGCTCGAATTTATCTTATATTTTTCTATGCAACTTTACAAAAGACCGATACAAATCATTTAAAATGATAGATATATTAATTAAAATCGGAGAAAAATAAGAAGACAATTGGTATGATTTTGTAAATTGTACTTCGTACAATGAACAAAATAAAGTTTAGAATACTTTAATTATTTTCTATATATTACTCTATTCAACTTATGTTATATTATTTTTCATTATATACTACCTGATGCTAAAGATCCTTCCAATCTGTCGTTGAGTCACCTATGACGATAAAAATATAGCATAACCTGCTATTGATTTCTATTCCTTGAAAAATAAAGATGTCGTAATCATAGACTTAGTATATATAGACTGCGTGTTCTCAATGTTTCCTATAGCTTGAACGCGTCACAGAATAAAAAGAGATAGTATGCTTTGGATTACCATTCTATCTTGTTCTAACGACGCATAGTGGGGATAAGAAGAAGAATGTGGGAAAGGAATGAAGAGGAATTGAAAAGTATGGAGGAGAAAAAATAATATAGCGTATCAGAATAATTATCGATATATTGTGATAATAAAGTGTTTCATATGTATATAAAGTATTTTATATGTATGTAATAAAGAAGCTTCGAGGAAAACATACTATATAGGAGAACCAATATAAACCCCCATTCTAAACTAAGGATGGGAAAAAGAATCGATGTCTAGAAAACATCGATGTTCGCTCATTGAGAATGCTATTACATGTAGAGAATCGTGCACCTATTCGGCTGTCGGATAGAGAATTTCTAGAGACCCTAACATTTTCTCTACATGTAATACTGGGTGCTTTCCAATTGCTTAACACATTTTGACACACACGTACATAAAATCAGTTTATTCGTCACATATTATCTAAAATATCTTGTAAGATAATATGCAACCAATAAATTAGTTTTGTGTAACACAGTGTACGCAATTGGAAAGCACCCACTATCATCAATGAGCGAACATCGATGTTTTCTAAACATTGATTTTTTTTGCTCATCCCTATTCTAAACATAAGGAGAGGCTGGAGTGTCCCTACCACGTGTTATTAGAAAAATAATGGTAATCCAAAGCATGTTATTTCTTTTTATTTTGTAACGCCCGCTCAGGGCAGCGATCATGTAACTTTGAGCGGAACTTTTCACTTTCCACTTTTCGCTCTATCGATTTCACGTGAACTTTTTCATTGTTCAATCAAGTAACTCTATGCGTAAAAAGCACAAATCACTAAACATAGATCCTATATATTTTCAATATCGACCAAATTAGCTGTATCCATCGGCTGTAGAACATATAACTTTAAAAACATCGACTGTAGAACATATAACCTTAAAAACATCGCTATAAACTTATGGCTCCTGCACACAGGACGCGGTAATGCTTGAGCGCGCGGCGGAATTTCGCACAACAGCCAATCAATATGCTGCTTTCCGTAATAACCTTCTAGCTCTTACGGAAAAACAACATACTGATTGGCTGTCGCGCGGACTTCCGCCGCGCGGCAAGCATTAACGCGTCCTGTGTGCAGGAGCCATTAGGACTGTTATGTTTCCTGTATCTTATCACAGCAGTAGCATAATATATTCTTTATTCATCATGTCACTAAATTTTCACTTTTCCGCCAGCACATTTTATGGCTAACAAGTTTACATGAAAAGTTTCATATTTCTACGCTTCGCCGAGTTTAGTGATCACGAGTTCAAGTGAAATTTTTCACTTTTCACGTTTCCGTCCTAGGGGAAAAGTTACATGATCACTGCCCAGCCCAATATACAGTGTTACGTCCACAATAGATAACTATATAGGGAAATTTGAAAGTAGTGAAATCAGTGACTTACGTGGACGGTCAACAGAGTGATGGCTCCGCTTTTGGGTCACTCTGCTTTTCACCGAGTTTACCCTGGGTCTCGGGAGCCTGGCGAAACGATTGATGAATCTGGCGGAAAATCAGCGGTGCTTGTTCTCCTGGCTCGGCCTCGGAAGTTCCGATACCACGCGGTTTGATGCGGCCCGCGATTCAGAATTTGATTTCGCAATGTTTGAAATATGAAGGGTAGGCAAAAGTAATTGCAACACAGTCGGATTTTACGACTAAGTATAATATGCTGAATAAGTACACGAAGCTACCAGAGACTAACTATGAGAAGAAAATAATTATATATATTGCCTTCTCTACAAATGCGCGCGCTTTTATATGTCGCTTTGTCGCTGAGAATCGTTCTCCGATTGGTCCATGGAGTTATGGCGAGGGAAGAGATTCATTCCTTTGCATAATGTCACCGCATCGGTGTCCTGAGTGGTGTTTGGGATTCAGTTTTCATGCTCCTGTTTATGTTGGCTTATCGCACTGAGCGATAGCGGTTTCTTTGAGTCGATCCGTTGATTTCGAGACTCTCCAGCAGCACGCAGCATTCGGTATTTTAATTATAATGTTTTAACGCTCGCGAATATGCATATGCGCACGTACTTACATCTAGTAACATAGGGATAAAATATCTAGTGATGTCTGAAATCAGACAAGTCGGCCTCCCGGTCTATAATAATATATTATTAATGTTCTAAAATAGATCCGGACGTTACAACAGTCTACGCGTGTTTCTGATAATACCTCTCCGAGTCACTTTCCTAGAGCAGAAATAAGTTACCGACATTACCATCTACTACTATTATGTGATTCATGACGGGAGCGGTGCACTTGGACACGGTGCATTTGGACACAGCCAATCACAGCACCGTATGATTAGAGACATTTGTAGGGTCCCTTGGAACAGCGACTTGTGATTGGACTGTGTCCAATTGCCCCGTGTCCAACTGATATACACCCATTCATGACAACCTAAAGCTACCTAAGCTATCTCACGACTGCAAGCAGTGGGTTGGATAGAACAATGCCGTGAAAAATACACGAGATAATTTTGTAAAATTGTATTATTGATTATAAAATCATCTGGTGTTGTTTTCTAATAAAATTTTATTTATTCTTAATTAAAGTTATATAACCATTAAAATATATATTATATTTTTCAAATATTATCCTAAAGTAAAAAATTACACTGTTTTAACCTACCCACACAGAACAAAACTTCCATTAGACGTCCATAGATCATCCATAGCTCCATTAGCATCCATCTCCACGGTGGACGACAAGTGGATCTCTAATGGACGTCCATAATTCATCGATGATGGATATCCATATAACATCCATCGTGGACGTCCATTGTACATCTATTATGGATGTGCAATAGATTTTTACATTTAATTTTTTATTGAATTTTAGTACGACTTCTATTGCATTATAGCTTTCCAAGTAGAACATAAGAATCAAAATGATATCAATATGACGTCATTTGACCAAACAATGAATTTATGTCAATTATCAGCCAAAAAGAATATTAATAATTTTGATTATGTATTACTTGGGCTATTTTTAATAATATAAAAGATGATTGTAATTAAAATATATATTAAATAGTGTAAAAACTTTTTTATTTTTATTGCAACATTGACATAAAATTGATCCCTCACAATACTGATATCATTTTAACATCAATGTCATGAAATTGTCATGAAAATGTTCGCTTGACGTCAAAATAACATTACTTTTATATCATTTGATGTCATTTTGATTTTTATATGACTTTGTGTTCTACCTGCTCTACTGAAAAATCGAGCTGAGATCTCAATTGAAAACTCAATTACAGAGTAATTACTCTGTCAAAATATTGCATAAGAGAAGGAAAGAATATTCTTTCTCTTTTGCGAGCACGTTGTATGTTAAAGTTTGATTACTTATACAACATTGTATTAATATTAATCGCATTGTGATTGTTATTACGTTCTTTGAAACATTTATTGACAAATATGTCATTATATTATATTATATTTTTGAACGTTATAAGAGTATATTGTAAATGCAATCCACCAAGATATTGTTACAGCGCAATGATATCACTAGTTCCCGATTAAAGATGGGTGCCGTCTAACACGGGATCGAATCCACGTGAATCTCACAAATAAATGAAACGACACAAAATATGAAATGCCAGTTTTTTTGTTATTTAGACAAAATAATACTTCATTTTTCACTGAGTGAAATTATGTAATATTACTGAGATATTGTAATATTACTGTTATATCGTGTAATATTATTAGAACGTCCACTGGAAGTTCAATGGAGATCCAAGATGAGGACATTTTGATGTTGAGTGGAGGCTTTATGGATTTTCTATGGACGTCTATTAGAGGTTCTGAATCTTCATGATGGAAGTCTAATGGACATCCGATAGAAGTTTTGTTCTGTGTGGGTATTTGCAAATATTGCTTTTACATAATTCGTGCAAGTGCAGGTCCATAATAAATTATGCCATTAGGGTATATTGACGACAAAACAAGATAGATTTAAAATCTATTTTAATAATGTTAATATAGTTTATTGTAATCAAAACGTATAATGCAAGAACATTTATATAAA